TTTATAAATATGATACAAATTGTCATAGGTTTTATCGTTCAGTCTATATGCAGCAGGAATTCGTAACACACAAGATTGACACGATTCTCATGCTCCATTAGTATGCTGATAATAGCGCTGTTCTTCTACGTCATCTTTTTGATCTACATTCTCTCTCAATGTTGTCGTTAAGGGCAAGGATAATTTCACAATCTCATATTAAGTGACAAATGACAATAGCTCGGCCTTTATTTTATCAACGTCGGCATCTGGTAAAGATTTGATAATGCTATGTAAACTGTTTTGGCAATATCACGAAAGTTTAATGTATTAAAACATGCCATGTTCATATATAATTGTCGATGTGAAGTGAAACGTGACTCAAGACTTTGGACTACTTGATCCATCACCGCATTGTAAGTGTGAATTCTGTAGTGTTCCAAAGCTTTAGATTCGTCACGTTTGTCAACTGTATGTTCATCTAACATCATTGGTGTCTTAAATATGGTTTCAGTTCTCTGGATGATGCTTGCGTTTGCCATCCGTTCAAATTGAAAAGCGTTATTATGAATATCATCAAAAAGTTTTGATAGACTTTTTAATTCAATTGCGGCCTTCTCCCCCATCTTGAATGCAAACAATGCATTTAATCTGCGAGTTTGCAAGTATATTGAAATGGTCCTACTTTTTCAAAAATTCGCAACTAGGTAAAGGCAGTCAAAATGGTGTCAAATTTTAGAAATGGCATGAGCAATGTCTTAGCTTCATGACGTGTCTGCATCAAAATTTTCTGATTCGCTTATGGCAAACATAAAACTAAATTAATATACACTGTTGAAGATAGCTCAGCGAATTTTCCGAATATCGCCGTTGCAGCATTTAATTTATTCGACCACCTTGTTTCACCAATCAATTTCAATACCTTCATCTTATCAATTTCAATTTGTGTTTCAATAAGTTTAACCCATATTGCAATTCGCTTATATGACACTTTTATGAATGTTGAAACATTTTGCAAAAGGTTAAAAAATGAAACTGCCTGAACGCAGCAAGTATTGCAAATTAAAACCAAGCCACTATAGCGTCAATTCTAAGAGGTCGAACAAGCCTATGCCAGTACCGTCATTGCTTGGCACAATAGAAAGCAGCCATTCATGCACAGTAACATCTAAAACATAGCGAACCACAATGGTGAATTGGTCAATTGCAGATATATCTTGTACGGAGTACGCTTTTGCTTTAGGCACTTCCATTGCAATCTGTTCTTTCATCATGTTTTTCATAATGTTGAGAAGCTTTGATATTGTAGTTTTACTTAAAAACGTAACCAGTGCACCGCGACCTTTACTGCCGGTTTTACCTTGACGCTTCAGTTTTTTTATTATTTTGGTTGATTTTTTTTGACACATGAAGAGATAATAAGCTAAAAGTGGGTCATATTTGGCCAAGAGCTGTACCGAAGCCAAAAAATGTCCATGATAATTATATTGAGCGCGGAAGTTGAATAAATATTTTTGATAAGTTTTAGATTAAATAAAAATAATAAATTTTATACAAACTAAAATATCAATCTCATAAGAAGACTAGCACCACTTCTGTAAATTGATTGATCAAGTGTGTTTTGTGTTGAATTATAATTTTTTTAATTTTGAGGTGATTATTTAATTCATTTTTTAATAAATTAATTCAAGCACCGCAAATGCAATAATAGTTAAAAAGTCAATTCCCTTAGGAAAATCATTGCTTATACCTGGATCAGATAATCATTAACAATAGACGATATTTGATAACTTTTTTAAGAACATTTTGCTATGCATTTTGGGATCGGCTGGGGATATTCCAGACATGGAGCAAACAAAACAGCCCCAATTTTTTCTCCCCCCCCCCTCCTTCCTTCTGCCAGAAGCAATTTTTTGCAAAGCATCCTTATAAACATATAAATGTTTGGAGTTTGCTTCAGGTCTTGAAGTTAGCTATCTAAAAGACCAAAAATTGCTAGATCCGCCCCTATATATATATATATATATATATATATATATATATATATATATATATATATATATATATATATATATATATATATATATATATATATATATATATATATATATATATATATATTCAACTGGAGCGATAGAGGAACATTTTGTTGGTTTAATTGCCGTTACGGAAACTACAGGAGAGTATTTAGCAAACTCCTTATTACAAGAACTAGAGAGAAATGGTCTGGATATACAAAATTGTCGAGGACACGGATATGATAATGGCGCTAATATAGTAGGCATAAATAAAGGTGTGAGAACAAGAATACTCAACATTAATCCAAGAGCATTCTTTACACCGTGTGGATGTCATAGTTCGAATTTACTTTTAATAGATGCAGCTAATTCTTCTATAACAGCTAAAACATTTTTCGGCTTTATGAATAAAATCTATGTACTCTTTTCGAAACTAAGCAAGTGTTGGGAACTTACAAAAAGTATATCGAAACTAACACTAAAACCTTTTTCAGAGACACGGTTGGAGAGTAGAATAGGAGCGGTAAAAGTAGTTGTAGTCGACACTGAATGTTGATTCAAAGCGTTTCATGAATATTTTGGTTTTATTTACGATATCAATTATTTGAAATTTTTCCAAGAAACAACCTACTCAAGCAATGTAATTATTTAGGTACAATACTTCGGGAGGGTGAAAACAGAGACATAGATCCTTTTGAACTTTATGAAGAACTTCAAATTTTAAAATCAACTTTACTTGAAAATATAAATGATGCAAAGTAACTTTACAGTATATTTTAGAAAATAATTTTGAAAAAATATATAGCTAAATCTTTACGTAACAATCAGAATCATGATCACAATTCCAGTAAGTACAGCTTCTGCTAATAAAAGCTTCTCAAAGTTAAAACTGATTAAGACCTACTTAAGAAGCACGATGAGTCAAGAAAGACTTCTTTAGCCATTTTGTGTATTGAAGTTATAATAGTTAGATGGTGTTAACAAGTTTAATAGCCGAAAAGTTTGCCTTTTTCAATTTGTGTTTGTTGGTGTTATTATTATTATTATTATTATCAATTCATATCATTATTAACAATAAAACTTATATGCTCCTCCTTAATTTTTCAATCTAAATTTTTAAACTTTTTCGGCCAAATCAAGGTTTGTTTTTATTCGGGTTTTTTTTTAACATAAAGGATTCTCGCAAAGCTAATTTCGATGTCTACGATTTGCCTCGCGTAGCCGCTGAGCATAACATATAATAAAAATTAAGCAATCTTTAGGGTGTCACTTCAATTGTTTCAGGAAATTGTCTAATTCTAACAAAAAATGTTTCTTCAAAAATAAAATAACGTATAAAAACCTTTTTAGCAATTAACGATTTTTGTTAAAGATAACGGTTACTATTTCCACGGCGTTGATTCATTTAAACACGTCATAAAATACTTGAATAGTCGAAAATGTTTAATTAGTTACATACCAGCTTAACATTCGACTGTACTATTCGGCGGTTTGAATTGGAATGTCATTATTGTATTGGAATGTCATTAATGCATTAGAATGTCATTAATGGGTAAATTAGATGAAAGAATCTGAATAATTAATTAATGTCAAATGAGTTTAAAATAAGTTAAAACAAGATTTTTTTTGACTTTTTATGAAAATGTCTGTGTATACATACAGAAACAAGTTTTCAAAAGATCAAATCAGCGAGTTTCAGAGCGCATTTATTCTATTAGAGCGAAGTAATGGTAAAATAACTAAATTTTTAATTATAACAAATATTAAGCACAAAATATAATCAGTTTTTAGTAAACATTAACTTAAAAGTTAAACCATTCAAAAATTACAACTGAATTTTAGTTTGTTTCATTTCTTAAGGGTCAAGTTTATTTAGCGTGCCTTTATTTAGGATGCATTCATACTCATGATTTTCGCAAACTATTGGCTACAATTGGATACAATCCAGCAGATAAGGTGCTTGAAGAACTTTATCTTTCTATTGAAAACGGAAAAAAACAACTAAACTTTGACGAGTTTATGGAATTAATAGCGCAATTAGAAACTGACGACAAAAATACGAAGGAAGGTAAAACACAATTTTTGTGCAATTAAGATGAAAAAAAAAAATTATTTTGTTAATTATTGTTTCAATATTATTAGGAGTCAAATATGATAAATGCATCCGATAGACTTAAGTGTTTTGCAGTAAGATATAAAAATCCTATGGCTGAAGTGTAATTTCTAAGCAGGTTTTTAAAAATAGATTTTTATTTGGAATTGAAAATGAAAAATTAAAATAATTATTATATTAATAAAATAATTCCGCTGTTGTTATCATAAAAGTTTTTTTAAAACTGTTAGAAAATGGAAGAGAGGAGGGGAGGGGGTGCTGAATGCAGTGTCCCCTATGCTATGCCCCTTTTGCCCCCCCCCTCCTCCTATTTCTACGCCAATATTGTATATATACATATATAAAAAATTTTTAAATTTAATTATAGCAAAAGATGCATTTAATGCATTCGATTTTGAAGGCAATGGTTACATTCCAGCCTTCGATATTAAAGAAGCATTAATGTGTGTATTAAAAACAGCCAAAGACTCTGAAAGAGAAGCAATTATTAAATTTTTCAAGTTTGTATTTTTTTACTAATTATTGTTATTTTTATTTTGTTGTAATTGTTTTAAAATAATAAATTTTATCCATTTTTTTATTGTTAGACTGGAAACAAACAGAAAAGTCTATTTTAATGAATTTAAAGCAATGATTACATATAGTCCGTAAATCGTGTTACACCAATTGCATTCAAAACATCGCTAAAGAGTTTAACATACCCTTGAAAAAGCAAAAATGAAAAATCGAATGAAAAAAAAAACATTAAAAAAGAATTGTTTGAATTTAGAAGTAACGAGGAATTAAGATCTTTTAGTGATTTAGTAAAAATGAAAAAATATAACAATTTTTTGATAGATACAAGTTTTTTATTTAACATATATTTAAGGAAATTTTTAAGAATTAAGTTTAAACGTTTTCTGTATGCAAACATAAAATGTAATACGTCACTTCGAACGAATTTAAATCAAATAATATGGCATTTTAGTGTAAAAAGTATAGATCAAATACGGTAAAAACCAATCGCACTGCAGTAAAAATCAAAGGCTATGAATAAAATGTGTCTGCTCTTTATTTTTTGCATTTTTAAAAATAGTTAAATTAAATAGAAATATTAACATTTTTTCTATGCATAGAAGCATCAAATATGTAAGTTATATAAAGTTTAACTTTTATATATCTGTCTTTTTACACAATTCTTTATATTTTTCTTTAAAAAATGTTAGCATTTCCATTTAATTTAATTATTTTTAATAAAATAAATAAAAAAGTCTTTTTTTGTATTTATTCATTTATATAATAATACAACAAAAGATAAAATAAATAAAATAATGAACTGATGCATATGATGCACTGTTTACTCCAAATTAAATAATTTAATTGCATTAAATAGAAGTAAAAATTTTTTGTTTGAGATATTGTCTATCAAAAGGTAGTGTTGTCAGCTTGATATTCGTAGAAAACACCGATACTTAACTTTAAATTAAAAAATCTTTTATTTTTCTAATTTTAAACTAATTAATTGCTTTTTATTTGAATTTAACATTTATTGCTTTTATTTAAAAAAAAAAAGTTTATTATTATTTAAAAAATCTTATTTTTATTAATAAAATTTAAAGATTAATTATTTTCACATTTGCTTTAAAAAATTTTTATAATTTTTTAAAAACTAACTTTTAGCATTTTAGGAATCAGCTTCCACGGGGTAGTGGTGAAAGTTCTGGCTTCAAACCTGAAGATCTGTGGTTCAAAGCAGCTCTGGCCATATATGGATCATTGATAAGAAAAGAGGCGTGAGTGTCCTGGTTAAATTTTACTCCGCGGTGCTCTGTGATAAGACAGTCAGCACCTAAAATAACTAATTTTAATGAAATCAATCATTTTTAGGTCTAAAATTATCTTTGCACTATTTTATACAAAGCATCGCACTCCTTACTAAAAAAGGAAATATATTATTGATCCAAGAACAACTAAATATTTTGAAATAATTTTTACACAGGTCATCACATAACAACATGATGCTAGAGAGGTCAATGGTGCCCGCTTTAATATTGATAAAAATTAAACCTTTATTTGTTGTCATCAGCTATGAGTGCTAAAATTGGATTAGACAATCGTGCCACTTCCGTCAGGGTAGGGTTATGTTTTTTACAAAAAAATTACAAAAGACGATTTGCTGACGCTTAATGCTCAACTAAATGTTTTTTTTAAAGCATTTTTTTTTTACTTTTCTTTGTTCTACTGGAAACAGTGCCTTCGCTGAATTTGGTTTCACCCAGAACGGTAAACTTTTGGTGTCACTCCTCTAGACTAATAGATTTATATTAATAAATTACATCAGGTTAAAAGGTTAACCAAAAACCTTTTTGATTGATTGCCACAATTTCTGTTATTGCAAGTCAATTTAAAATCTGGTTTTAACAAACTTAAACAAAAGCTTATTAATGTTTATAAAATGTTTAGGCCCACCACTTCATTAATCCTAAATGTTATACCTGGAAGTGGATTTAAAAAAATGTTTCAGCTCTTGATTTAAAAACAAAGGCAAACAAAAAGAAAATAAGAAGTCTGAGCCTGAATGTGAACCAGCTGATTTGAAAGATACTAGCATTTATTATGTGTAGAATCTTAGATAGTTGAGCATTATCCACATGCTGAAATTAGATAGTTGAGCATTATCTAGATGCTGAATTTTTACATTTAAAACTTTGATTATGTCAGAATATGTACCTAAAAAAAATACCATCAGAATATGTACCTAAAAAAAATACCATCAGAATATGTACCTAAAAAAAATACCATCAGAATATGTACCTTAAAAAAAATACCATCAGAATATGTACCTAAAAAAAATACCATCAGAATATGTACCTAAAAAAAATACCATCAGAATATGTACCTTAAAAAAATCAAAACATGCTCAGATTTTGATCTGTATCAGTGCAAATGTCAAAAAACTTTCTTGGCGGCAATCGCTATAATAGCTACTATTTCTACTTCAATAGTTAGTAGGCTTAGCACAGATGAACGGTCTTGCGTCGTCGTTGTTCTTAAATGTGTTTTAACTCTTTTTAATGTGCTAAAAGATCTTTTTGCATGCAACTGCAGTTGCTACGATAACGGATAATGACAAATATAACATAAGAGCTGCAATTACATCAGTGAATGAGTAACTTATATAATATAAAACTTATAAATAATATATAACTTAAATAGAGTAACATATTATGATATAATATATTACAATAAGTTATTTTGGATATGGGCGAAAATGCGGAAATTCTCAACGCGTAAAATGCTAGTTTAAATTTAAAAGATTAAATTTTGCGGAAAATTTCTTCTAACTCTAACCATATCGCTATTCCAACCCAAATCTAGAATCAATGTAACATCACTTCTTTGCATTATCTCTCTAAATCAGTCAATATATGTGCTAAAGCCTCTTACCCTATTTTCCGCAGTTTATTTTCGCACATAACCCGTTCCCACATTTTATGAATGTATTGCTGTTGTTAACAATTTAAGCTATTCACAAAGACTGTCCACATCTTTAATCTCCGGTTTGAAAGTTTTTTTCAATTAAAAAAAAAAGAATTTTGCTGATTGCAATTTTTTTAAGTAGTAAGTTATTTTTTAACTGAAATACTAAAATATATAAATACCGCTTAAATATTAAAATAACCAATTACTGTTCTTTGCGTTCAAACGTTACGACATGTTTGCTACTTAATAAAATTAGATTTTATTTTATTATTTATGGTCTTTCTTTCTTTTTTTTTTTTTGCTATATAAATTTATTCAAGTTGTAAACCATAATATAATAAAAATAGCAGGGGCAAGAAGAAGACACAATTGGTCTTTTCACCAAGCCCCTAAGTCTATACCTTAAAATAATAACCCAACAGCAAAAATTAATAACCTAACACGATATAATATAAAAAGTTTTTCTAAATACTTTTTAAAAATCATTGTTCCTATTTTAACTTTTTATTTTCGTATTGATTAAGAAAAATAAAAAAAAATAAATAAATAACGAAAAAAAATAGTAGGGAAGGCGACAGCTTTGATCGAGGACAGCTTTGAAAAAATGCATTTGTGAACAGCGCATGTATTTAAATTAAGTATAGTTAATTATTTTATGAAAACAATACTTATCCTCACATCTGTCACTTGAATATGTTGCCGTTTGATATAAAATGGAAAAACAAGACGATTTTTTTGTTTTCGAGTACAAATTTCAAACATTTGGATAAAAAATTATAAGACTTTCCTGACCATATTTTTAACAAGTTTTTATATATAATATTTTATTCTGTTTACAATGAAGCAAAAAATTTATTATTACATTAGCTAATTGCCTTGTGGAGGCCACATTACCTAGGTCTGAATAGACTTGTTTCGGCTCCTAAAGGAGCGTCATAACCTACTCTACAAACCGAGAGTTGGGGAAGAACGAAGATATGCCAGAGTGAAAGGCAGAAGTAGTGTTAGAAAAATAGCATAGAAAAAGCGGACAGATTTGCACACGATGTTAGAAAGTGCAATAGTGCTTATATATATACAGCCGACGTAGACATTATATACATTAATTTGAGTGATAATACAAGTTATCCAAATATGCATACAGGTAGTTTCATCCAAAAAAAATAAAAAAACAATAAATATTCATTATTTATTTTAATTTTTTGGTATTTTATAAGAAAAAATAAGATAAATTGAAACAAAATAATTTAAAATTAAATTTAAAGTCAGCAATGCTTCCAATATGTAATATTGTGTCAAATAAAGCAGAATTTGTATAAAAGTTAAGTTAAAATGGTATATTTTATCTTTTTAGAGAATGACTGGAGCTAAGAGGTTAAGTATGGAGAGGCGGATGAGGGTAGTCTTGCTGGCTGAGCAAGGTCATTCGCATCGCCAGATCGCTACAGACCTGAAAATCAACCGCAAAACCGTTGATTCATTGGTAATAAAGCATAAGAATACCGGCAGTGTTGGGGATTTAGCTGGAAGAAGGAGGACGCGAGCTACCACTGAGCGAGAGGATAGGCAGCTCATCCGCATGTCAAAGCGTAATCGATGGTTGACTTCGCCGGAGCTGAAAAAGGCATGGAACGAGAACTACGGAGTTGACGTAACCAGCCATACTGTGCGTAAGAGACTGCGGGCAGCTAATCTGCGTGGTTGTGTAGCAGCAAAAAAACCACTTCTGTCCGAGAAGAATCGTGGCAGCAGACTGGAATGGGCGAAAGCTCATAAGGATTGGACGGCCGATGACTGGAGCAGAGTGTTATGGTCAGACGAGAGCCCGTTTGAGTTGTTCTGTGCTGCAAAGCGTGCTTTTGTGAGAAGGAGGCCAGGGGAGAGATTTAATGCTGATTGTATTCTGCCAACAGTAAAACATGGGGGTGGGTCAATAATGGTATGGGGTTGCATGAATGGTTTCGGGACGGGAGAACTTCGGCGTATCGAAGGTACTCTTAACCAAAACCGATACATAGAGTTGTTGAAATCAGCTATGTTGCCATCTGCTGCAAAGCTTTATGATGGTCAGCAGTATATTTTCTAACATGACAATGCACCTTGTCACACAGCAAAGACTGTGACCACATTTCTCAGGTCTAAAGGTGTCACAACGATGACTTGGCCGGCCCAGAGTCCGGACATGAACCCGATTGAGAATTTGTGGGAAGTGCTATCCAAAAAGGTGCAGAACAGAAAGCCAAGTAATCTGGATGAATTGTGGCACATGATTTCCAATGCCTGGAATAATATATCACGTGACACTCTCCAGAATCTGGTACAGTCAATGCCGCGTCGCTTGAGGGAATTATTGAGGGTCAAGGGTCGAAGTACAAAATATTAGATTTTTTTCTTTCAATGACTGAATTTCTTTGTTATATTGTTATATTTACATATTTTGTACATTATTATATAATACTATTGCTATCTGTAAATAATTAAATCAGTATTATTCAAGATTGTGTCTTCTTTGCATGAAAATGTGACTGGCCCAGTTAATTAAGTTCGGTACTGTATATATATATATATATATATATATATATATATATATATATATATATTATATATATATATATATATATATATATATATATATATATATATATATATATATATATGTATATAAATGCGATTGTGTATTTACAAGTAAATATACAGTCGCACAAGTATTTAACAAAAATGAGGAAACAATGTTGAAAGACTATCTAATAAAAAGCTCTAAAATGAACTATGGGTTGACATATAAACAAGCACAAGAATTAGCAATGAAAGCACAAGCATTATGCAATGAAACTTTGAGAATGTCCAAGTAAATGGATAGAAAATAAACAAGCTGGTAAAGATAGGTACGCGGAAATCACGTTTTACGGAGCCAATTTTTGTGCTACCACGTTTTTTTTCACTTTTTTTTAAGTCGCGTCAGACAAACATTTTCATGTGGTGTTTCTTTTTTTTTATCTATATAAACCTAGATATCTTTCTGAAAGAAGAAGGGTTAATCTCGATTTTTATGTGACTTTTAATGTAATTTTTTATGGTTTGTTATGGTCCTGAAAATTTGGTTGATATTTTCACATTAATTTATAGTGGAAGAAATGTTGAGCCCACTTTTTTTATTATTGATTCAACTTTTTACATACATTTTCTAAGCACATGCCAATTTTCAACGATAAAAAAAATGGGAGCAGATAGTTTACTATGTGTTATTCTATATATACCATTTTTTTTAAATAGCCTTAGGCAAAAGTTTTCTTGAGGTATTTCTTTTTAGAAAGATATATAAACATAGTATTTTTTTTGAAAGAAGAAAAGTCAAGCTTGATTCTTAGAAGACTTTTAAGTATGGTTACTTAACTTTTTCATGAATTATTTTGCTGAAATTTTTCCATGAAAATTTAGTTGATGTTCTCACATTAATTTCTTATCAAAGAAATGTAAAGCCCGCTTTTTTTATTATATATTCAACATTCTGCATGTATTTTCTTTTTACCTGCCAAATTTCATCCAAAAAAAATACTCTATACTATAGAGTGGTTGAAAGGCTTCATGAAATACCACCAAGAAAATTTACTTTGAAAACTTGAAAATACGATGAAACGAACATTATGACAGTAGTACAAGTACCCCATGTTATAGCATCGCGTGGAACAAAACAAGTTGAACAGTGTGTATCTGCTAAACGTGGACAATTAATTACTATCTGTAGAATAGGAAATGCCATAGGAAATTTTATTCCACATGTTTTCATATTTTCAAAAGCACGATTTCATGACGCCATGATAAAAGGAGGACCTCCTGGTTGTATTGGTTATGCAAAAGTGGCTGGATGAGCCATTTTTTGGCCTGTTTGCATAACCAATACAACCTGGACCGTTGTTTTAAAAGGTTCTAGAACAAATAAAAGAACTAGTCAAATGATCGAAAGAGGATCCTGTTTTACTCTTAATGAATAATCATGAAAGCCATTGTACATTAGATGCTATCAATTATTGTTTTAAAAATGGAATGGTAGTTTTAACATTTCCTCCTCACTGCACACACAAGATGCAACCTTTGGATGTGGCAGTTAATGCACCTTTCAAGCAAAAACTGTCTATTTCTCAGAATGATTGGCTTGTACGCAATCCGGGGAAAACAATAACAATACACGATTTAGTTAGCATAGTGACACCAGCATATACTACAACATATATTGGCAGGAATATTGTTGCATTTTTTTTCACACCTGGGACATATCCTTTTTCCCACTTTGCTTTCTGAAATAAAAACTTTCAAAGTGCTGAAGTTATTAATCGTTCTCTGACAGAAACATTCAGTAAAGCTACTTCTGATAACTCACATCAAATTCTAAATAAGTTTTGAAAGTTTCCAGATAAAAGTTTTGAAAGTTTCCAGATAAAATTATAATCATATGACTTTTGTTTGGTCAACTCTTACATAAGATTATATGATTAGTTAGTATAGAAAATTTATTTGATCCTTGCTATTTGCAATTTAAATATAATGAAATTTAAAAATAAATCAGCTCTATTAAAAAAAGTAATTTAATCACTAATTATTTACATATGTCAGAAGAAATTCAAAGCTGTCCCATGCAAATTCAGAACTGCCCCAGGCTTGGCCTGGTTTAAACGTTTTCGTGCACCTTACTAGAACGAGAATACTGACCACGGCGATCTATGGTTGGAAGTGAAACATTAAAACTAGAAGTTTGAATTTTTTTTATTGCATGTTCCGCAAATTACACACATTTAAAAAAATATATATTTTTGTGCAAAGTATTAATTCAACGCATTGAATTAATGCTTGAATTAATTTAAGCGCACTTGCCTCAGAAACTATAAAGAAAACAAATAGTTGTTCCTTTTACAATAGATATTTGTTAAAATCGAAAGATTTAATTTTGTTTTTGAACGTTAAAATTTTATTAGCATTTACAGCCTCCGAGGTCATATTGTTCCACATGTCAACAACTCGGTAAGAAAAGCTATATTTTCTTAAATTTAAGCGACAAGATTGTTTGCCTATTTTATAACTATGACCCCGGGTGTGGCTATTATTGTCAATGGCAAAAAACATAGATTGATCACTGTTTGTATTAGAGAAGATTATTATTTAATCTTAAAAAACAATCTGAAAAAGATATAGCGTTTCGATTTTTAGATCTAGGGTCTTCCTAAACATTTTTCATTAAAAAAATAAAGCAAAACCTAAAACTCCTAACGTATCAAAAAAAACAATGTGGGAAACGTGTGGGCAATGTGGGACAACGGTTAACCCTAAACGTATTACGAGTGAACCCAGTACTTTTTAACAAAATAAAGAAATTCATTTACAACAAAAATCTTTTCTTAAATTTTAAAGAATTTTACAAATGAAAAGTTCGGTGTAAAAAAAGTTTTTTATACCATAGTCGTCATCGTCATTATTGTCAATTACCATATGCTTTACAGTGATGTCAAGAATCTTTTAAATTAGCAGTAAACAGGTTTTCCTGAACTTTGTTTATTATTATGCTTGCGTTCTACGTAAACAGAATTAAAATGCTAACCTTTCATTTAGCAATAAATTAATAAATTGTAAGGCTTGTGTTCTTCGTAAAAAGTATTAAAACACCAATCTCTCATTTGAAAATAAATTAATAATTAAGTCAGTGTCTTTTATGCTTATATAAAAGTAATTAAGAAAATTTTTTATGGAAGCTGTAACAACCTTTCTTGATGTTTATTTAGAAAAGGGGCCAACAACACAAGTTGTACCCAAAATTGAATTCATAATCTTCTGTAGGTGCCTAAAACTTTGTTGCAGTTTGGACATTTGTGGACAACATCTTTGCATTCGTTTATACAAAAAGGAATAAAGCCACATAAAAAGCCTCTAAAAAAAATGACGAATTTAATAATTTAAAAGTTTTAAAAGGATATAATATTTAAAATATTTATGAAACTAGTAAAAAAACTTTTGAAGTTATACAAAAAAACACTTTCCCTTTATAAAGCCTCTCTGAAGGTTTCAAATATAAATTTTTAAATAAATATAATTATTCTTTTAATTTTGATGAAAATTCTTTTTGGTTTAAATGAATTTATTTTTTATTTTAAATGAATATGATTAATATATATTATTACTTTTTAAATGAATAAAATTATTTTTATAAATATAAATATAATTTGGTATTGTATTACATATTAAATATAAATTTTTAATATGTAAAACTATACCAAAAAGAATAATGCTACGTTAAAGTTAAAACCTTATCAAAATATATATAATAAAAATGTATAACAAATAAAATAGAATATATAAATATATGATACATAATAAACAAAATACAATTGTAAAAAAAAAGTGTATAATAAAACAACTAAAATATTAGAATTTTAATATAAAATATTAATTCCATTTTAGAATTTTAATATAAAATATATTAAAATTCTAAAATGGAAGATTTTTTAAGATAATAATTTTTTTATAAAAAAATTGTAGAAACAAAATATTTCAAAACAAGCAAAATAGGCGTCTTTAAGCAATTTAGTTAAAACCTTTTTGTTCTACAACTGATAGCTGGCCAAACAGGTTTGCGATTTTCCATATATAGAAATGATAAAAAGAAAACAAAAAAAAAACATTGCTTGTAACATGTTACGTAACCAAGTTAACATGTTATGTTAACATAATAAAAGCACTTTAAAGCATTTTTATCGTCCTGACAGTCTTATCTCTGAAGCGCCCTTAATCTTGATTAAAAGGATTTTTGATTTCAATTAAGAGTCAAAAAGTGATGATCCACTTGGTCATCACTTTTTAATTAAATCGGCTGCATGTTCTAAGGAACATGCAGCCGATCTTGAATAACCTTCGTTGACAGTTTGGGACTTGCTGTGTAAATTTTTAACTCAAACTAAACGGTAAATTTTTAGCTCAAACTAAAAATTGTTTTAAAAACGTTGCTTTAAGTCATTCAATATTGAAACATAACATTTAATAATAATGAGTGTCAACCATTTTACTAAGTTTATACTTTACGTCAATTTTAGATATATTTTACTGAGTTCTTGTTAAAAACTATTATATCCATAAAATCCTGAGGATGGCTCACTTCGAGGAATTTATCTCAATTCTCTCACTCCTGATATTATTATCTCTATAAAATTTTCTTGACACGAAACACTGTTGTTATATTTGAGATGGGTTTTCTCACAATAGCTTTTCACTTTTAAGCAATGTTAAAAACGCATTATAAACATATATGAATCTGTTAAAGCAGATTCATATATGTAATTAATACGTTTTACATTGTTTAAAAGTGAAACATAATGTAAAACGCATTATAGACCTGTCATTGTCATTAAGTTTGGCCTCTTTCACTTTTTGACAAATGCTACTGTAATTGCCGAGGTTTTTATCCTTCGGTCGAGTTAAGGAAAGTTAATTTTTATACGGCTTGTCACAAAGTGTCATAAGGTTTTCATCACAGTGATTGTTCATTTGTGGAACAAAATCATTTATTGTTTTTTTCCATTTAAACATCAACAGTTTAGAACTCTCTTGCCCCTTATGTACCATTGTTTCATACAATTTTTAACTTTTCAAGTACTCAGTTAATCTCTTCCCTACTCTTTAATCGCCTTCTTATCTTTTTAAGTAACTTCTAACATAAATGTTGCTTTTGCAGTTATGTTAGAAATAAAACTGCGTATAGAAAAAAAATATTTATAAAACATAAACTTTATCTTACGTTGCTATGCATATAATTCCACTCCACACGCATGTATGGAAACCTGCATGATACTCCAATTTTGTTAAGATACAATAGTTGCAATATTCGCACAAAGTCATGACCGCTTGTTTTTGAAACTCAGATTCAGTTAGCGAGCTGGGCTGTTCTTCGATTATTTTGCTTTCACAAAGTAATGAACTTTTTGGATCACAAATAGGGTAGCCGGGCATTTGTGGTGAAGCGTCAGATATTCTACGTTGTGCATAAGAAAAAAGCTGAGAGAATTTTTCAGGTTCCAAATTTAACACTTGATTTTTTATCGATTGCGACTCTTGAAGTGAAATTTTTCTTTCGCGTTTGGCTAACTCAGTTTTTGATAATCTTCGTTGTGCTGTGTTATTAGGAGATTCGTCGGATTCTACTTTATTAGTTGTGACAGGTTTTTCAATTATTGGTTGATTACACTGTTCACTTAAAGATTTTTTTCTAATCGAAGATGTTTTAAATTCAAGTGCTGGTTGGGTGTACCTTCTTTGTTCGTTTGATATAATGGGTGCAGCTTTGTAGGATTCGCTCATCTTTCTTTTAGAATGCATAACTATTTTAGCATCTTCTATCAACTTACTTTTACTTGTTATCGAATTGATTGCCGGCTTTGTTGTCGAATCGATTGCCGGCTTTATTGTTGATTTTAATTGACTGTATTCATTTTCAGCTAGACATTTGTCGATTTGAGCTGATTGAACACAATTTTCTTGTATTGATTTTACTGAATGTATGGTACTTTTTTGTTCTTCACACAATAAAGACCTGCTTTGAACAGGTTTTTCAATTTTCCATACTTGTAGTATTTTCTCATACTTATTTGTTGTAAGCTCTTGTGATGATAATGTTTGTCTACAAGGAGTGGATTTCCGATTTTGAATTAAATTTATTGATTGAACAGTATTGTCTTGTTCTTCATGTAATGCTTGTTGATCTTGATCAGTTTTTTCTAAATTCTTAGATTGACAAGTTCTCTTATTTGAATGTTTTTGACCATCCAAAATTAATTTGTCGATATGTGTTGGCCACGAAGGATTTTTTTTCTCAAGTTCTAGTTTAGAATTTTCGCGGGATGAAGACTCTTCTGCGGGTGCTAGTTTAGATCTTTGTTTTGTTTGCTCCACCAAAGCTCTTAAAAATAAGTTTTTAAAAGCATTCAAAACTTAATGCTTCTAATAAAAAAAAAATAATAATCAAAGAAATAATATTGCGCAATAATATTATAAAAGCTTTAATAAAAAAAATTAAGAAAAAAAAAAGATTTTTTTATGCGATTCAATTATACTTGTTTATTATTGTTTTATTTACATTTATTTTTTTCGTCTTCTTTATTATGTCTTTATATCTTTACTTATTATTATTTTTATCATTTTCTTTACCTTAAATAAAACAATACTAGGATAAATTTTTCTTGCTAATTAAGCTACTTTTATTGTTAGTTCATCTTTAAGACACTATCACTGGTATGGTTCTATACAGGGCCGTTCTGAAGAGGTCTTCCATTGGGGGGTGTTGTATGTATTTTTTGCCAACTAGAGACACACACACATTAAAAAAAAAAAAAAGTCCTCAATATTTGCAATTTGCAACTATAGTTCAAAACTTGCTCAATGTGCCAACTCAAATGCTTAATGACAGCTTTTGGAGGAGGTGGAACATCACCAACACCCCCCCCGTTCGCAACGGCCCTGGTTCTAAATCAGCTGCAGCTGGATTTTTCGATGTTTTATAAATATGACAATTATGGGCATTTTGTAAACTCAAAACTTAGGCCCGGTGAATAAAAAAAAGCAATGGCTTTTACTTAACGTTTTAAGAGTGATTGTTCAGCTTTACGTGAATAAAAATTAGAGCAAAACCGCTGAAATTTTATTCACATAAAGTTAAGCAATTTACTCCAAAAACGTTGAATAATCGCTCAGCTTTATGTGAATAAAAATTTATCCAAAATTTTTATTCACCTAAGTTTAACCAAAGTTTTTATTCACGTAAAGCTGACCAATTACTGACTAAAAGCAATTGATTTTTGAGGAATAAAAAAAATCTTGCTTATGCCAAATAAAATGTATTCAAAAAAACCAGACAGTAGTGCAGAACGAGTTCAAATCCAGCTACCACCAATTCAGTGCTTGAGTAGTATTTCTGTTGTAATGTTAGTCAATAACGGACACTACTTTGGATTAATCTTTATGTGTAGCTGTTTCTATAATAAGCCAACAATATCTTCGGATATAAGTGCACTGTGTAGCAAAATAAAGCATTTATATTTAGTATAAGATTAGTATAAAAAACATCTTATTAACTCATTGTCTTGGGTAGGAGTTGTAAACATTTTTACTTACAAGCTCCAACCACTTTTATATTTTGCAATTACGTAACTAATTGGTATCATTTACATCAAAACTTCTGTTACAAGACCTTTTTATAGTTGAAATCTTGACTATTATAGTTTTTTTTTTAATAAATAATGGGTCAAAATCGTATTTAATTCAACTATTGAAATTTAAAGAACTGTGAAATAATTATGGGCAGCTGTTGTGCAGCAAATGGAACGTTGGCTTAAAACTAAAACATCCAATATAAATGCTCTTTTGCAGTGCTCTGTGACAGGAATATTATGTCATCCCGAAACACAATAATTATTATGAAAAGTTATTTTATTAAAACACATTAAATATACCTACACCCATTTCGTAGTTAGTCAAGATATTTTTGAATTACAAAAGGATTTTTAGGATAAAATATTTAATTTGTTTTATGAAATGTTTAAATGTCCAAAAACTCTTAAAATTTTTTTCTTGTCTTCAGTGTAATATTAGTTTAAAAATGTAATATTAGTTTAAAAAAAATATAGCTACTTAATTTTTTTAAATGATTCACAAATTGTTTTTTGCTATTGAAGTGCTATCGAAGAGCATTTAGCTAGGAAGTTCGCGCAACCTTCTTACCGATGCTGCGTAAAAATGAAGTACTAATCAACATTAAAAAACGCATAACAAATAAAAACAACAACAACAACAAGCAATTTATTTTCCGTAAATCATTTTACAATAGTTTTGATAATAATGATAATAATAATAATAGTAATATTAGCAAAAATATATAATAATAACATAAGATAAAAAAAAAATAATTATACAAATTATAGTAATAGTGACAATAAGTATGTTTACAATAATTACAATGAAAAAATAATAATAATAAATAAATATTATAATAAGTTAATGATTTATTAGGATGGTGTCATTTATACAGAAATCTGATCAAATGAGTGACACCAATTTTTAATATAATACAAGTAATGATAAGCAAAGACACACTGAAACACATGGATCGTAAACACACAAACCAAAGCACATAAAATATACATCAAAACAAACATGTAGAAATCAATTTGCAGGTTTTACTAATAAAAAAATAAACAAAAAGTGCTGATGATAGTTGTAGTAATTACGAAAAGAAAATTAAAATAATATTTAAATCATAAGGATAATAATGCAAAAAAGTTAGAATAAAAAGTTTTTCAGAATTTTTTAAAATTGATATTGTTTAAGATGGAGTAAAGGTATTTTAGGATAAATTTTTCTGGACTCATTCAAAATGCATGCTAGGCTCCTGTTCTATCCACAGACGCACTGATAAACAATAGAGCGTTTACCATACTTCTGGGTTTTAAAAGATGGTACATTTAGTTTTCTATTGGGTTTATTTCTAGTAGAGTAGGAATGTAATAGTCTATTTTCTGTGAGCAAGTTTGTGATAAGAAAAGGTATATTTTTATGTAAGGAGTCAAAAACAAAAAGAAGATTAGCAAACTTTACTAGCGCTGGAAATGTTGGAATGAAAAGTCTTTTGAAGGACTTTGATGTATCTGATTTAATTGGTTAGAAGTTTATTATTAGTCTGATGGATTGACGCTGAGACAATAGCAACTTGTTATTTATGCTATAGTTTTCAACTTGACCCCAAACTTGACATAAGATAAGAAATCATAAGATGAAATGCAAACCGAAGGTTCAGTAAAAGAGAACTTTTATTTGTCTTATTTAAATATTTGGAGTCCTTAAAACTGATTAAGTAATCGTGTGTTCCTAGTTAGCCTTTGTACCAAATATCGATTAAAATCTCAAAGACCTAAGTCTCAATGGTCAATTTTGTATAAATTTTTAATATATATATATATTTTCATATATTAAGTTTCTGTCTTTAAGGTGGTACACATCAAATTTTCTAAAATGTTCAAACTTAAAAAAAAAACAAAAAACAAACTTTATATCAATAAAAAGTACATTAATTTAGAATGCTATTTTATACTTCATTTTACTTTGCTTCGATTACTTTACCTCGAATTTATTGAAAAACATTCATTTTAATGGGTCCATTCAAAACACGATAATTAGAAATATATTAACATAACATGAAATTTTTTACATTTATTCTAGACATGCCAAGTAAGGTATTGACATTTGGATTTTAAGATTTTCAATGTACATAAAAAATTATATCAATTTTTTTACATCAAGAAAAAACAAAAAACCTTATTTAGACCTTAAAATTAAAAAAAAAAAAGATTGGAGCAGAATTTAAAAACTTTGAAATGTCATTCCCTAGAAAATAGTATATTTTATTTATATATTATTTCCTAAAAATTTTAAGTGATTAGCGCTTATGCTTATCAAGATATTATGTTTACAAACAGACATTGTTTCGCATTTTCCTATATAAAATTTTTTAAGGTAATTAATTTATCAAAAAATTAAAAAATAAATTGGGAATAAACTGTTTATAATATTAATCTACATTAATTTGCCTGTCAAATGAGCGAAATATCAAAAATTCACTTAATTCTTTGATTATTGCTTTTGAAGTCAATTTCTATTAAAAAAATTTCAAACTATTATTTTTATTTAAAAAATTTCAAAATCTCAATCTCAAAAAATTTCAAACTATTATCTTGTTACCTCTTTAACATTGGAACTAGAAAGTTAAGATTCAAGTTTTACTCAGCAAGTATAAATTCTCTAAGATGAAATCATGTATTCTACGTTAATTCTGACCTGCTCAATCAAAACTACGCAAGGAAAATTTTTGTTGCTGTTGTTGATTAGTGTAATCAAACAGCTAAACTTTTACAATTTTCTAAAGCAATTAAACTATAACCTTAACAACTTTTATAAAAACTGAAATTATAACTGATTATTAAACTTACTTTCGAAAATTTGACCCTTGCGGTCTGTGCAAACGTCCCTTCATGATAAAAAACGAAGAAAGTGTAATAAGAAATGAAGAAATTATTACCCAAAATTAAAGAAATAAATATTAAACAAATCAATTCAATTCAAAACAAAACAATTAATAAGAGAATTCAAAATAGAAAATGTTAAATTTAATATTAAAACAAAATCATGAAACAATAAAATCTTTCCTTTTATTATCTTGTTAACTTTTTTAAAATAAAATTTTTTGAAATAATTTCATGTACCATTTACGTACATATTATTTTAAATTCGATAATCTGTTTTTATAAAACTTAAACAATCAAAATAAGAAAAATTAATAATAATAATTAAATTAGAATAAAGCAAAGGTGATGTTTATCCTTTACGAAGATTCAAAGTTAGCAAGAAACTTTTTTGATGCTATATTTACTGCGCACGCAAAGTAAATAAAAAAACAAATAAATACTTAAAACAATAACAATAACTAATAAATAAACAACAGCAACTTTCAAAGTATATTTATAACTCGTATTTATAATTTAAATTATATTTCTGATTAGTTAAATGCAAGGTTTAAAGTACGAACTGATACCAACATTGCTACGTGTTTCCTTATGTGCAGGTTTTACTTTTTTGATTCTAATCATTAAATCCTTCGTTACAACCTTATGACAAGGAGTGCACAAGGTCCTATAATTTTCTAAGCCACATTCCCCGCCTCCTTCTGCTACGGCAAGAACGTGGTCAGCTTGCCAAAACTAAAACAAAATTACGCAACATAGCCTTTATTAAATTCCGGAAAAAAATAAATAAGTTATAAGAATATTGAATATTTTTGAATACTCGTTACCAGTCCTTCTTTTGGGTGCTTGATCATTTTATTTAAGACGGGTACAGACAGTTTTACAAAACATGTCTTTTCTAAAGCAGCTTTTCGATTAGCAATTGGCATATTAGAAATTTCTAGAAAAACAGTATGCGCATCTGTACCGCACATCTGACAGACTCCAAGTTCAACAGCAAAAAGCTGCTCTCGGGCATTCTCATGTTTACTTTTAGACCGTATCTAAGAAAAAAAACAAAGCAAAAGTATAACAGAGAGCTTGAATAGTTGAACAAAATGATAAATTTTCTTATTCTGAAATTTCAGAATAAAAATAAATTGAAGCAATAAACTAATAAAATCGTTTATATAAATAAAATACTATAAATAAATTTATTAAATTGTTTTAATATTTTTTATAAAAATGACACTCTGTCAGAAAGTATTTTCTCATCTATGTTCTTAAAATTGACTGCAACGTTAAAACTCAATCAATTAAACCAAGTTAAAACTTAATCATATTCATTAGTATTACGGTTTCCAATCCTGATATCCAAATATCTGTATAATCTGCGAATTCGGATAATTTTCATGGAATATCCGATAATACGGATATACGATTGAATTTTTTTTTTCTTTCGTGCAAACGGCGAGAAACGATTAAATGATAATCATAAGATGGAAAGTTTAGTATTATAGTTAATAACTAATAACTAATTAACTTTCAAATAACATCATTACATTTATCCCAATGTAAAAATTTATCAAACAAACAAATCTAAGTCAAAACCAGAAAAAAACATCAAAATCATAGATCTCATCGAAGATTTTCGAGAAGTTATAAAAACCTGTGAAGAATTATAGGAGTGATGTCATCATGTTCAGTCAAAAACAAACTGTTAAATTTATGTTTAATTTTTCCTATTCTTGGAAACAATTTTTTGTTAATACTCTTTGTAGTCAGTCTTAAGTTACAAAGTGTAACCACAATTTGTTGAAACATTTTGCGATGAGTTGAATAGAAGTAATTTTAAAGACGCAAATATCTGCAAACTAGAAAAAAACATCAAAATCATACATCTCATAGAAGATTTTCAAGAAGTTATAAAAACCTGTGAAGGAAATGGAATGTTCAGTCATAAACATTATTTTACATGGACATATCAATGAACAAGTGGGCAAAACATTGCAGTTGATGTTAAATGTCAAAACTCGATATAATTCATTGATGGTCATGCTTAAACGTATCTTTTGAATAAAAGATCCTCTAAATAAAACTTAAAAAGAAATAGGACAGCAAAAGATTTTAGAGGAGAAAAAATCAACTTAAGAAGAACTATTAAATATCTAATTACCAAAAAAAAAAAAAAAAAAATCGAAAAGGTGTTGATAAGCCTATTTACGGAAGCTTAGATCAGTTACAAACAAATCTAAGTCAAAACTTATTAAAATACTTATAAAAAAAGCGAATGAACGTTCAAATGAAATCCTTATGAATTTTAGAATCTTTTAAAAACAAGAAATATTTCACATTCTAATAAATATTTAATATTTTGCATTCTAATAAATATTTAATATTTCACATTCAAATAAATATTAAATATTCCACATTCTAATAAATTCTGCCACATAAGTTAAGGCAATTTTAAAAAATTATACTTCTGTATGATATTTTGTTGCCTACGTAATATTTCCGTTAAATGATCAGGTCAGTGAATTATGAAAAGGCGAAAAAAATTTTGCGTTATTATAAAATATATATGTTTGTAACAAAAAAATCATAGATCTCATAGAAGATTATCAAGAAGTTATAAAAACCTGTGAAGGAATGATGTCATCATGTTCAGTCAAAAACATTATTTTACATGGACATGTCAATGAACAAGTGGGCACTACGATATATTTCCATTAAATGATCAGGTCAGTGAATTATGAAAAGGCGAAAAAAATTTTGCGTTATCATAAAATATATATGTTTGTAGCAAAAAAATCATAGATCTCATAGAAGATTTTCAAGAAGTTATAAAAACCTGTGAAGGAATGATGTCATTATGTTCAGTCAAAAACATTATTTTATATGGACATGTCAATGAACAAGTGGGCACTACGATATATTTCCGTTAAATGATCAGGTCAGTGAATTATGAAAAAGCGAAAAAAATTTTGCGTTATCATAAAATATATATGTTTGTAGCAAAAAAATCCAGACCGAAAATTTTTTTTTGAAAAAAAATCTTCTTATAATCACAATCGCTTGTCAAAATTTGAATAAAATTTTAAATAAATACGTTTTTATGTGAAATTAACATCATAGTTTAATAATATGATCTGTTCTGATCGTTTATTGTCAATTTTCCGTTATGTAAACTTAATATAGGTTAGAACCGATTAGAACTAGGATCTATAATGGGTTAATGTACTTTTTAAAAAGATTTAAACTAAGTTCATGTTAACGCCGATGAGCGAAATTGATCTATAGACTCCAAAATGGTGTTCTTTGGATTCACTATTAGGGGTAGTAAAAAAGTTTTGAAAATTAATAAAAATTTTTTTATATTATTAAAAAAACCTTAAGCAAATAAAAATTATAACATCTAAAGCTCTTGTTTGGACATAATATGCTTATAAAATCATGCTAATTTCAAATAAAAGAATTCCAATAAGTTGTAAACCGCCTTAACTACACCGAGCACGCTTCTTTTCTTTTCTATAATATGTGATAGTTGTTGATTGTAGATTTGTTTATAGGCATAAGTTATTTTTTCAAAATATGCATATTTAAAAATGAAATAAATTTAAATAATATAATTTTTTTTATCATTTAATGATTTTTCAATTTATATAACTAAAATATTTTAACTAACTAATTTGAATTAAATTCAATCTATAATTTTTATTTTTTTGTTTGTTATCCGGATATACAGATATATCCAAATAATTTAAATTTTGAATATTCGATATTCCGGATTGTCATTAATGTCGGACAGTTGGAAACCCTAATAAGTGTACACAATTTGTGTTGTCAAAAAAACCAATGATAAAACTAAGTGATAAATATCTACGTTTTAAAAAAAGAAAAATTTCAAATTTTGATTTTTTTTCTTCCAAGGTTTTAATAAAGTGGTGGCAGAATGGGTATAGAGTGGCTTGATACACAATGTATTTATTAATTATTTTTTTATTTGAAGGGCATTTTTTTTTAAATAATGCAATTGCAATTTTTATCGGAACCTGGGTTCTGTTTTTCATTAAATGACGGTTATGCGAATTAACTATTGATTTAATGTTTGGCATATAACTGTAACTCACCTTGAGAGTATTTCAATTAAAAATCATGTGGTATTTATGGCGAAGTGAGATTGCTTGTGTATTAAATCCAAATGATGAACTAAGTTATGTACATATTAATTTTAATGATCAATTCATTGTATTTTCAACAATTGCTGTGTTGCCTAAATAAAGGTTTTGTAGCGAATCTCAGTTGTGCCCGATTTTTTTCCGACAGAAACAAAATGTTTTTTAAGTATACAGTGGCTAAACAAATTCCTTTGTCTTAAGCGATGGTTTACTGTTGCATTAAAACATGAAATTTGACGTGACTGTATAAACTCAAAATGGTTTTCTTTAGCACTTTAATGCAGATTCGCCTGTGACAACCTCACTATAACTTAATCTTGGCGAAGTTTTTACCCAACAATTCTTGGAAATGATTCCGTTGTTGAAAAACTTGTAATGTATGGCCAACTGTTGATTGCGGAATACTTATTTCTATTGAAATTTGTCGCAGAGTCTTACCATTATTAGATGCTTGATTGACTTTGTCACAGCCTCTGCTAAATATTATTTATGTCCTATTATGGATTATTGATTATGAAATATTTTTATAAAAATATGCGTTCAGAAAAAGTAGTAGAAAAAAAAGTTTTAAAAGTAATCGGAATTTAGTTTGTCCAATTACTTTTGAGCCAATCATTTCCATTATTTTATTAAAATTTTGAGTAAAACAAACAACCAGCAACAACTTGGATATACTATAAAAATAACCACAGAACACAAAAACTTGGATAGGCTATAAAAGAGCCATAGAACACAAAAAATTACAAAAGCGAATTTCAAATTTAAAAAATTGATACAATTTGTTTATTTAAGTGAATTTCTAAATTACAAAAGTGAATTCCAATTTAAAAAATATCATGAATACAATTTGTGTTAATGATGTCCTTAAATGTTTTTTTTAGTAAAGTAAGCAGATGTAAATAGCTTATTTTTATAAACAAAAATTAAGCCACTATAATGGCTACAATAACTCTATTACAACTTTAAAAAGAAAAAAAAAAATAACTATACATTTAATTTTGAAAAAATAAATATATTCAGGCGCTTATTTATTTTATAACATAAATTGTGCATAAACGAAACTACTATCAACAACTATTGTATTTTATTATTATTGTATTGTATTAAAAAAAAAAAAAAAGAAAAAAGAAAAAAAGAGTAGGCAGAGTGATAACCTGTTCAAATCCATTTCCAAGATATAATCTTTTGATGTATTATCGAAGCAATAGAAAATATAAGCACATGTCCGTTTGCTTCAATAATAAATCCTATATCAATAATACAATCATCAATTGTTTCAATCATACATCAATAACTCAACTTTAATGATAAGTTATTGCAAGTTTAATGCTGATTAGCTTAAATAAAAAGCTTTGCAGTGTTTTTACCTTTTTTTAATTTTTAAAGCAATTAAAAAATCAAGAATGAAGTTGATTAAATGGTAAAACTTTTTAGAAAAATTAAAGGACTTTACTTTATGAACAACAACAACAAGTCATTTATTTTCCGTAAATCATTTTTATAATAGTTTTGATAATAATAATAACAATAATAATAGTAATAATAATAATATATTATAATAATATAAGATAAAAAAAATTAATACAAATTATAGTAATAGTAAAAATAAGTATGTTTACAATAATTACAATGAAAAAATAATAATAATAACTAATATTATAATGGTAGTTATAAGCATAAAACTATTTATAATAATAAGTTAATGATTTATTAGGATGATGTCACTCATACAGAAATCTGATCAAATGAGTGACACCAATTTTTGAATATAAGGGGTCGTCCATAAATTAGGTCACGCTTGGAGAAGGAGGGGATGGAGGAGAGGGGGACGTATCGGCGATTTTGTGATGATTTGTTACGAGGGGGAGGGGGTTTCGATTTTGTGACAACATTTTTTTTTTTTAGAGAAGACGTTCTTTTAATTAAAAGAGTATCTGACCAAAACAAAACCCTAAGTTGATGTATCTACATGTTGATTGTAAAATTAACTATGCCTAAATCTTACTTAGCCGATGTGCACACTCTGTTACAGCCTGTTAACGGTTACGGCTTGTTATCGGCCTGTTACGGCTGTTTGAGCAGTGCACGTTCTGCGCTTTGCATTTTGATCGTTCAAGTGCAGAACTTAGTTGATACACAAAAGTGTGCATCAACAAAAAAGCAATCTTTGAGCAATAACTAAAAAAACAAAAACTTTTCGATACCGAGAAACGAACCTGAAACCCTTGATTTACTAGCCGTGGGTAGAATCTACTCGACAACACTTACTTTGCCAGTTAAAAGAAAATTGTATTTATAAATTAATTTTTTTGCATGTATAATATCTCATTATTTATTATATATTATATATATAACATTTTGCATGTATTATATTACGGAAAAATAGATTTTTAAAATTGGTATCATGTTTAGGAGAGCGATGTTAATTTATACAATTTTAAACAAAACTATTGGTTTAACAAAAATGTTAAAAACTGCGTGACATAATTTATGGACGACCCCTAAGTAATAATAAGTAAAGACACACATTGAAACACATGGACTGTAGACACACAGACCAAAGCACATAGAACATACATCAAAACAAACACGTAGAAATTATAATTTGCAGGTTTTAATAATAAAAAAAAAAAGAAAAAAAATAAACAAAAAGTACTGATGATAATTGTAATGATGAAAAGAAAATTAAAATAATATTTTAATCATAAGGATAATAATGTCTAAAAGTTAGAATAATAAGTTTTTCAGAATTTTTTTAAATTTATATTGTTTAAGATGGAGTAAAGGTATTTTAGGATATATTTGTTTGGACTCATTCAAAATGCATGCAAGGCTCCTGTTCAATTCACAGACGCACTGATAAACAATAGAATGTTTACCATACTTCTGGGTTTTAAAAGATGCTACATTTAGTTTTCCATTGTGTATATTTCTAATAGAGTAGGAATGTAACAGTCTACTTGTAGGAATGTAATAGTCTGTGAACAAGTTTGTGATAGGAGAAAGTAAGTTTTATTTAAGAAGTCAAAAACAAAAAGAAGATTAGCATACTTTACAAGCGCTGGAAATGTTGGAATGATATTTTTTTGAAGGACTTCGATGTATCTGATTAAATTGGTTGGAAGTTTATTAACCTGATGGATTGACGCTGAGACGATAGCAACTTGTTAATGCGATAGTTTCAAACTTGATAACAATGCTAAAATGAGATAAGAATAACGCATAGTAAATATTCTTAAGTGAAACTTTATCGACATAATGACGAATTATCGAAAGTAAACCGTTAGCTCGAGTTTTTTGCTTAGTTTATCAATACAAAAGTTCCATGAAAGATTGCAATCAATTAATACACTAAGATATTTAATAACTATTGAAGGATATAGCCGTTTATTATTCATTTTGATTTCAACATTTCTAAAGAAATAGTTTTTTCTTGGAGATGAAAAAAACATTAGTTCAGTTTTTTTGGTGTTGAGACATATTAGGTTAGCATTTAACCAGTGAACTATGCTCCAAATTTACATTTTTATATGAAAAATTATACGATTTGTTGATGTGCAAGAGATTTGTATCATCAGCAAACAGATGAACTGATGAAAAGTCAACAGAGTTGATTAGGTTGTTAACGTAGATTAAAAATAAAAGAGGATCTGGAACAGAACCTTGAGGAACATCACACAAAATTGATGTATTACTAGAATTGAAACCATTAATACCTACAGATTGTTTTCGATCTGAAAGATAAGATCGAAACCAGTCATTTACAATACCGCAAATTCCATATTTTAATTTAGAAATTAAAATACTATGGTCAATGGTATTCAAAGCTTTTTGTAAACTGATAAAAACACCACAAACGAAATGACCAATATCAAGAGCTTCCCTGATTTTTTTGTTATACTTATTAATGCATGGGAAGTAGAATGTTTTGATTGAAAACCAAATTGAAAATCAATTAGACAATTAAATGAGTTTAGAAAAGAGTACACTCTAGAATACATAAGTTTCTCAAGAAGCTTACTAATGTTAGATAAAAGAGAAATAGGTCTGTAGTTTAGAGCCATTTTTGAAAGTTTAGAGCCATTTTTAAATATTGGAATAACGCAAGATAATTTCAAAATATCAGGAAATGTTCCATTTATAAATGAGGTATTAAATAGTTTAGAAAAAACATTTGAAAATTCATTGTTAAAATATATATAAGAATACTTGTGGGAATGCTGTTAGGACCTAATGATTTTTTTGGATTCAATTTAGATATAAGAGATGAGATTTCAGGAATATTTGTTGGAGATAATAATTAACTATGTAAATTTGGATGTTTAAGATACTTTTGGTAGTTAATGTAAGACAAATGAATATTGGATTTGAGTTTATGAGCAACATTTGTAAAAAAAAAGTGCTAAATGATTCAGAGATTAGAGTTGGGTCAGTTATACATGTTTCATTTTCTTGCAAACAGTTGGGAGATGATTTATTAAATTTTTTTTACATTAATTAGAATGTTAATGCCTTTCCAAAATTCGCGAAGATTTTATACATTTTCTGAGAAAAAATTTATTAAATGGGTTTTTTCACTTAGTTTAATTAATGTAACTATCATATATTTATATCTTTTAGAAATACTTTCAAATTTATTCTTTATTAATAAGATCTTTAGATCTTAACATTTTTTGTTGGAAAAGATTGCGCACTTGAATAGATTTTATAATTCCTTTTGTAATCCATGGTTTGATTCGACGTTTGAAGTTTTTGATACTTGTTTCTTAAAACGGGGCGTAGAAATCTAAAATCAATGTTGTTTCAATATTAAATGTTTGGAAACATGTGTCAGTATCATTTGACTTTGTAATATCATCCCAGTCATTTTTTGATAATCAGATTTAAAGTTTTCTTTATTAAAGTTTTTTAAACTCCTACTATTTAAATTGGGTCTGCAGGTTTGTAGACAGGTAAATCATCAGTTTTAAGAATTATATCAGAAGAAAATAGCAATTTAAATACACTATCTTGTCACCTGTGAATGGAATTACACTTTTAATACAGTTTAAACAATTCTGCAACGAGCAACATAATTGTAGTAAACTGTACTTAATATCATTAAGCCTGTCACATTTTGTATTATCTCAATGTAATATTTGTTTATTTTGAGTCCAAAATAAACAAATATTAAATTGAGATAAGCAGCAACTTTGACTAAATTTTTTACACAAATGACAGTTTAAAGCTGTAGTGGAACCGTAATATTAGAGAGAATGTAAGAAACAATAAGTAGGAAGTAAATAGCTGTTATTAATAATTGTTAAAATAAAATAATGTGTATGAATAGATTATTAAGAACAACCGATTACAACATCGAAAAAACAATAATAATAATGGTAGTTAAACAATAACGCAACAGCCAAACAAACAGTAAACTATAACAAAAACAAAAATATTGAAGAAAGTTATAAAATCAAACAAAAAGAGTAAAAAAAGTAATCAAAGTTAAGAGAAATGTAAATTAAAAAATATAACAATAATAAAAATAAATATTTAATATTATATATCTAAATATGTAATGTAATAATAAATTGTAGTAATATAAATTAAAAGAAAGTGTAATATTTAAAATAAGATACTCATCAGTCAATAATATGTATTGCTATGCATCTCTTTTACAACCTCTACATCTTATTCTTAACACTCCATTTTTCCATTTTAATTTAAACTTTATCAATTTTTTTTTATAGATGTGCTTGATTGTTAACAGAATTAATTCAGTTTTTCTATTGCAGAACATCTTGATTTTGTTTGAAAAAATACTACGCATTTGAAATTTATTGATTGAAGAAAATGCTTGTTTTTATTATTTTAATAATTTATTACCAAAAAATAAATTACCAGCAGTATTGCTGCAATATCCAGTATGACTTTAATTGCTTATTACTCCTACTAAATGGCAAGCATAGTATCAAATAAAAACAGATTTTTTGTTTTATATAATTGTTTCATATTTAAAAAAAATCTTTTAATATATAATATTTAAATATCACAATGGATTTAATTTATTGTGATTTTTATTTATGAAAAAAAGATAATATATTTGACGTAACTTTAGCTGTTATATCCTGCTTAAAATAAGACCATCCTATTGAATCAAATTTATATACCAGCTTACAAAATTTAGAAAAACTTTTTTAGATGGAACACATAAAAAAAAATTTTTGAATATAAATTTAGTTTACAAGTCTTTTTGCACAGACTTGTAAACTAAATTTATATTGTAAATTTTTTTTTACGTGTTCCAGCTAGTATTAAGGGGTAAATAATATTATTCAGGAGTAAATTGTATTAAGGGATAAATAAATGAGCCACAGAAGTGCTTTTCAATGTTTAAAGACTTGCTTCCTAAGTTCATAATCACCAAGTTTGTAGTTTATTTTTTTAAACATATCAAACATCAAATTTGATAAAACTATAGTTTAAAGAAACAAAAACAAAGAAAATAATGAAAAGAAATTAAAAAAAAAAAATTAAATAAAAATATATGACCTTAAACTCTTGCATGCACGTGTGAGAGCAAAAACGAGCTAACCATGAACCTGCTGCAATTTGTTCTACTTGCTTCTCACAATAAAGACACAATGCAATACCTTGCTTGTCTACTGCTTGCAAAACCTAAACAAAAATTTTCAAAATCATTACAAGTTTTAAACAAAACATTTTGTCTAAAGGTTTAATATTATTATGAAAAAATAATATACCCCACAATCAACTTTATTACTTTCTTTTGCAACAAGATTCTTTTCATTTGCAAAAGGATGCTTTTCATTTACAACTGAAATCTTTTCATTTACAATAGGATTCTTTTCATTTAAAATAGAATTCTTTTCATTTACAATGGGATTCTTTTCTTTGGCAATAGGAACCTTTTTATTTACAATAGGATTCTTCTCATTTACAACAGATTTCTTTTCTTTTACAATAGATTTCTTGTTTATCCCTACAGATTCATTTGTAGAAAAAAAAAGAGAAAAAAGATATCAAAGAGTTAACTATCTTAATTATATTTATGAAATTTTTTTTTTCTTAATTATTAAAATTATAACCTACTATATAATATATAATAAGTTCTAATATTTCTAATAATTCTTATTTATATTATATGTAACTTACTTTATTAGAATACTATATGTAAAATACTATATATTTACACAACTATATAACAATAAAATATTTATATATATACATTCACACAATTATATATTCACACTAAATTTCTTTGAAAAAAAAACTATATATTCACACAAAATAATTTCTTTGAAATAAAGCAGATAAAAAACTGAAAACATTTAAAATTTACCATAATTATTAAACAATAATTACTAAAAAAATTAAACCTAGTTTAAAATGAATAAACAGGGGCGATTTCATATCATTTCACTAAACACAAAGGTGAGTGAAACGCCAATGGAAAAATGTGAAAAATCAGAAAATCATTTTCACTGAAAGCAGAGGAGTAATTAAAACTATTTTTCTTCAAAATAACTGTTCAGCTGTTCAGGTACTTGCTCACAAGTTTGTCACAACATGTTCTTATCAGGTTTAGCCCATACTTTGGTCAATTCTTCTTTCAACACTGAAAATATGCTAAATTCATTAGATTAAGGTCAGGTAATGCTGGTGGCCACATCTCTGGTGTCCAAACATAAGAAATTTCATCTTGGAGAAACTTGACAATTTTCTTGGCTTGATAGGCCAGGGATAGACTGAATGTTTAAAGACTGATTGTTTTTGCTTGATTGACCAGGGAAGCAATCCTCACTCAAAAATGCAATATAGTTTTCTGAGTTGATTTTTAACCCTCTGGAACAAAACTAGAGGAATTTTAGATCTTCCAGAGCAGATCCCAGCCCAAACCGTAAACTCTAGAATGTGCTGTTTATTTGGTTTTGCTTTTAACTGAGATGTCCCCTCTAGACTTTCCAATGATCCCGTCATTGTATCAATAAAGTTCTGGCTGAACAGTGAAGAATGTTTCATGTAAATCACAGGAATTTTGTGAGGAAACAATAGCAACAAAATGTGTGCTCATTTTTTTATTTTTTTCTTGTTTCTTCACTTAGGAGCTGTCATTTGCTTCTTACTAACTCTTTAGGGCTAAATCTCTGCGAATAAGTCTTTGCATCAATAATTTTAAAGTTCTGGCAAGCTCCAAACTTGAGCGGTTTGAATTACACCGCAACTTACAATTAACTGCATTTACAAGTTTTTTGGTTCTTTTTCTGACAACTTTTTCCGAAAACTGTCTTTTTTTTTTTCAAGATCTGTAAGGAGTTAGTAGACATCTGTTAGATTATCTGTTTATTTTCTTCATAAATTCTGATTTCTTCAGTTCCGCCATGCACAGATTTTTAGTGGTCTCGCCCAAACAATGAAATGCCACTGAAAACTCTTTTAACATTTTTTACAATAAAAAAGGAAATATCTGTAAAAAATCACTTCATAATTGTTGAAATTAACTTGTTTTAAACTCTCCCACACAAAATTTTCATATTCATAATGCAAAAAAGTGCAAAATTCAAATTTGAAAACTTGTCTTGATGTTTTGTGCATCCATTTAAAAGGACTACCAAGTCCCGAAACATGTTGTGTTTATATTAAAGAGATTGTTAAAAAAAAACATCTGAGCAAATTTTTTTTTGATTAAAACTAATTAATAAATGTGTACCAAGAAAAACAAATCTTGTTGTTTTAGTCGAAGCTCATCTTCTCCATTTTCTGTGGTATTTTGAGTATGTAAAATAAATGCTATTTTCCAGGCGCATTATACAGACTTGATAATTTATTCAAGCGCGTTTAATTCATAGGAGTTTTAGAGCATGACGTCATTGGAAACATTCTAGAAATTCTTTTAAAATTTTACTATCAAATTTTACTAAAATAGCTAACTATAGTTACTTATTTTATTAAAAGTTTATTTTATTAATTGCTCGTTAGTTTTTTACAAATCTAACGAACAATTAATTAAACCAAGCACTTAGAAAAGATATAAAAATTAAAAATAAACTAATAAAATATATAATTTGTAATTAACTTTCAAAATTTTGACAATTTAAAAAATATATATTATAAAACATTTATTTTTGTAAACAAATGATAATAATTTAAAAGATTTACAGCTTTACAGATGTGGCTCCAAGAATGAGCCATAATATTAAATATAATATATTTAAAAAAAAATTTATGCGAGATATCTCAAAACGCAACAAATCGTAAATAATACAATTTCTAAAACATTTCAACAGAATACTCTAGAACTCTATTTCGCTTAGTCAGCGTGTTTTTTTAACCAATAGAAGTAGTTTGTTCGCAAATTTGGTGGGTTTTTAGTGTTCGCGAATATTCTTTTTATTCTTCCGCAAGATGTTTTCAAGAACATTCAAGTTAATTATGTTTCCATGTATGTCTGTAAAATAAAAATAAATATATATTATTTTTTTAATATTTAAGCCCCCCGCCATAATATATATTGGATGTTATAATAATGGAAATATAAATAATGAAATAAGATCATCTCAATACCAAAAAACACATTTTTGAAAATCAGAGAAAAAATGCGTTAATTTTTTTTTCAATATTTACAAAGTAAATTAATAAAAGTGCATTATTATTTAGGTTAAAAATTATTTTATCTAATATTTTAAAAGAAAAACTTATAACAAAAGAAATCAAAATACACGTGGTCTAGACGATTATTTAAAAAAAGTTGCGCAAATAAAATACTATTTTGTTTTTAATTTTATTTTTGTTTTTAATTTTATTTTGTTTTTAATTTTATTTTGTTTTTAATTTTGTTTTACAAACACATTTTAGAACTTTAAAATATAATAAAAATGAATATGATTTAGAAATTGTATGTAAAAAATAACAATCGGTGTTTTAAACAACAAAAAAAACTATGACATCATGCACTAAAACTCCTATGAATTAAACGCGCTTGAATAAATTATCAAGTCTGTATAATGTGCCTGGAAAATCGTGTTTATTTTACACACTCAAAATACCACAGAAAATGCAGAAGACGAGCTTCGACTAAAACAACAAGATTTGTTTTTCTTGGTACACATTTATTAATTAGTTTTAATCAAAAAAAATTTGCTCAGACGTTTTTTTTTTAACATTCTCTTTAATATGAACACAACATGTCTTGGGACTTGGTAGTCCCTTTAACAATTGCTTAAATAAATTTTGTATACACTATCACAACCAAAATAATCAACAGCATAGATTATGTAATTACTATAATAATATTTTATTAGGGTAGAATGATTGGGCACTATGATTATATTTTTGCCTAAACTGACAATTTGTCATAATTAAACTGACAATTTGTCATAATTTAACTGTCAATTTTTCATAATTAAACTGACAATTTGTCATAATTAAACTGACAATTTGTCATAATTTAACTGTCAATTTTTCATAATTAAACTGACAATTTGTCATAATTAAACTGACAATTTGTCATATTTAAACTGACATTTTGTCATAACTAAACTGAAAATTTGTCATAATTTACAATAAAATCATAAATTGAAAATTCAGGTGATAAGGAGGGAAAAAATTTTATTCATGAAATAATTTGCTTTGAAAAATTATAAATTTTTTTTTTTTCGAATTGTCATAATGTACAATAAAATCATATAATTATTAAAAACTTGTATACTTAAGCAATTACCTCTTGAAATTTGTTTTACTGCAATTACTTTTCCTCCAGCATTACCTGCAGTTTTTTCAATTTTGCTTACATTTTTCTAAAATTAAATAACAATAAAATGAGCATTTAAGTATTTAATATATAAAAAAAACAATTTAAAAGTAATAAAATTTTTTAAAAAAATAAATTAAAAAATAGTTTAAAGCTATAAAAACATAAATTGATTATAAAAAGTAATGATTATTAAGAAAACAAAATTTAAACGGATTCTTTTTTAATTTCACTAAAATTAGTGATATAAAAATTTTTTTTTAGTCTTTATCATTTCAAATTTTGTTTTATTAATAATAATAATTTTTTACAATCAACTTTATTGATTACCTTTTCAGTAAAGCGTTTAAAGCTTTTTAGTTTGCTCTATATTAAAAAAAAATTAAAATTAAAATTTATGTTAATAAAAATAAACCAATAGTAAATCTTTAACCCATCTTATCATAGCTCTTTTATCACATCTTAAACAGAGCTGCCAATCGACATGGTAAAAACCATGGTTAATCTATTATTTGTTTTTCTAAACCACTAATTAAATTTCAAACTCACATATTTAAATAAATATTTAAGAGAAAAAAAAAAAAAAAAAAAAAAGCAATAAAATAAAAAATGGCTACAGAAAAAAATTAATAAAGAAAGCAAAAATATTAAAAATAAAATATTCACATTATTAATGTTGTATAATGCAGCATATGCGTCATGTGGGCTAGAAAATATTACACCTTTTTTTGTAACAAGTAACTGCTTTCTTGGTCCCAATCTAAAGCAATAATGTAATAAAGTAATAAGAAGCAACAAAAATATTAAAAAGGTAAAGCATGGTATTAGCAGGTAGTAACCTACATGTTGGTTACTATGGTACTAGCAGGTAATAACCTACCTGTTATTCTGTACTTAGTTACTTAACTATATATCAAGGTAAAAATTAACAGTTAACAGTTATTAAATTACATTTTAAACATGCATTTTATAATTATTAGTAGACAAAAAATAATAATTTTAAAAACTTAATGTTTACGATATCCATTCTTTAGTAAATCTTTTAAGTTGATTAAAATGATGATCGAGAAGTAAGATTTGATGAAGATCGTCAATGATTCCCATTGAAATATTTTGAAAATTAAATTTTAATTGAATAAACCTCTCTTCCTATAAAAATTAAAAACAAAGACATCATTTTTTCAACAAAGTTTATATGATATAATAATAAAACTTTTTTATATTCTCTAATGTATATATAACAACGACCTGTAAGAATTTGTAAAATAAATTTATATACATTAAACTATTTTCATCTTACAATAAAAACCCACCAAACTCAAATTTTTACTCAGGCGAGACCAACATTTGACCATTATACAATATTTTGCCTCAGACCTATTGTATAACTTTATATGAATGAATATTGTGACAATCAACTCTTTTTATTTAAATTTTGAAGTAATACTTTTAAACAGTTTGAAGTGTTTTTAACCTTTAAGATATTTTTTTTTGTTGTTGAAAATATTTTATTTTAAAAGTAAACATAATCTATTTGCCAAACATATATCTCAGAGTCATTGAGGCAAATAATATACACAGACTCATAATAATTTCCATAACGAATAAACTATAGCATGATTTGAATATGTCAAAAACTTGAAAATCAAGTCTTAATCATTGACAATGAGCATTTAATTTTAGTTAATTGAATTAACTTGAAGTTATTAAAACATGCACTTAATTATTAATTAATTTACACTAAATTAATTTATTAAAACATGCACACACAAAAAAGTAGAACAATATATTAATATTTTGATAAGGTTTGTTGTTTTAGTTTACTTTAACAACAAATATATACCTACATCATCATACAAATATATACCTACATCATAATACAAACATATACCTACATCATCATACAAAAATATACCTACATTATAATACAAATATATACCTACATCATCATACGAATATATACCTACATCATCATACAAATATATATACCTACATCATCATACAAAAATATACCTACATCATCATACAAATATATACCTACATCATCATACAAATATATATCTATATCATCATACAAATATATACCTACATCATCATACAAATATACTTTATTTGTGTAGAAACTCATTTGAAATTTAAAATTATAGTGTCTGTTGTTATGTTCGTCCTCTGAGACATCAGATTTATCATCATCATTTAATTCATCATTGTTAGTTATTAAGTGATCTTCAATAATAAAATCATCCTCAAAAAACTTTAGAACATCTTCACCTACAACTTCTGCATTGCTTACTTCTTCTGCAATTTCTTTATTAATGTAACTCATTATCTTTGTAGGAGAATGATTCTTGCATATATCTTGCATTAAAAAAAAAGATTTCACATTCATTTTTTATAACGATTTTTCACAGCAAGTAAAAAATAAGTTATAATATAATATAAATAAAATAAAATTATAAAATAATAATAAATATAATAATTTAAAACAAACAAACAAAAACTAAAAATACAAAAGTTTAATAAAGCAGAAAAATATCAAAACCGGATAAATTATCAGCAACCAATGTATTCACAAAGTCTTCCTCCACAAGTATAGAATCTTCTCCGGAAAAAGAAAATGAATTAAAATTGTTGCAAATAGAAGATTTTATAAAACTTTCATTTTTAGAAACATCACTGTTATCAAAAATTGGATTTAAAATATTTTTTTCTTGCAAGGTAGACATTAGTTCAATATTTTCTTGAAAGGTAGATATTGGTTCAACATTTTCTTTCTTTCCAACTTGATTTACTTCAGAAATATTTTCTTCTTCAGAAGCAGAAAATAATTCAATGCTTTCATTCATTTTATTATACTTTTCGGTATTAAAAACCTCTTCTTTTAAGGAATTAGACAGCGAGTTAGTACTCTCAATTATTTCTTTACAATTTTCTTTATTATTAGTTACTTCTTTACTAAAGGCAGGTATCAACTCGCTATCAGGAACTTCACGGCTTTCTTTGTTAATGAATCCATTTACAGATGTAGAAACTTCTGTGTTAATGATTTTATTTAAAGTAAAGTTATTAGTGTGATCATGAGTAACACAATCAATGTTCAAAGCAGAAATGTTCTGTTTTTCTGATAATGAAACATTTGATTGAAGTTCAGGAACACATAAATCTAAATCAATATCTCCATTAAATTCGTTTTTAACTTCAGTGTTTTTTTTCCCCCTTTGATTGAGGCAAATACTGCATACATTTAAAGTGTCAGGATTTAAAAATGTACAAGCAGAACAACTCCACTCTAAACAATTTTCTATTAAATCTGTTGATAATTTTGTATCATCTTTCTTAAGATCATCTAAAGTCTCTTGCTTGTGGTCACATACAACATTTTTGGAAGTGTTTAAAAGAAAAATAGACTCAGCAGTTGGTATTGAGAAAATACTTGATGGTTTTTCATAAATCTTTTCTGTAAAAGAAACAACTGATGAATCAGAAGATATTACATTTTTAATAGAAGCTGTTTTTTCTTCAAGCAAGTTTAACAAACTGTCCATAATCTCTTTTACTATATTAGCAGAAGTAATATCTTTCTCAGCATTTTTCTGTTTAACTTTATCAGCAGAAGTGGTACCTTTTTTTTTCTGTTTGATTTTTGTATGAGAGCTTTCCATTTTAAAATGAGTTTTCCACATTGAAGCTTAAAAAACAACAACAATAAACCAAATTGTTTAACAAGACATTTAATGTTAAACTAATGTCATTAAATCTATAATAACAACGTATTAATATTATTTAACCCTAATAGTTTATATTTTAATTATTTAATGAAATGTGTGCAACACTCAAAGTTGCACCCATTATAAATGATTTACAAGTGACTATTAAAAAATCATTCTTTAAAAGCTTATGAATTAAACTGGCAAAAGAAATTTATTTTAAATATTTTATTTAGAACTCACATAAAACAATTATTTTTAAAACCAGATTAGGACAGGTCGGCAGTTAGGCCGACCTGACAGTGTCTAAGGTAGACAATAGCACTATGAATTAGGCTGACCCCAATTCCAAGTGATTTAATTTACTTTTCATGGAATAAAGTTAAAAAGACTATCTAAACTAAGTTATCTAAAAATTAACAGACTATCAAAGAATAGCATTATTAAAAGATGATTATTTGTTTTCAATATATTTATAAATGCTTTCATTAGGTCATGTCGGGTAAACTACCCTGTTATTATTATTATCTTTTTAAATTTTTGTTTTAGATCCAGGTAGATGGTCTTGTCACAGAGCACTGCAGAAGTTTAGAAAGTTAACACCTACATCCTTATCAATGACGCAAAATCTGCCCAAAGCTAGCTTTGAACCCTGGATCTCTTGGTTCTAAAGCAAGCAATCTAACCACTGTGCCACCACTGCTTACATTATTATTAGAGAAAGTAGCTATTATTGGAGTAGGTTATTTTGGCCTAAAGGTTGCAGCAAGTGGGCAAAACTTGTAAATTACATAATTGACAAATTTTAATTAAAGTGTATTTTATGTCAGTAGCATGTTAGCTCTGACATAAACCATACTTTTTTGATTTAAAATATAATTATTATCTGATATTGTAGATAATAGACATCTCTCTTAGTTTCTTTTAAAATACTCACAAAAAATATTCATTTTGAAAATTTTTACTTATCTAAATTTTATTACATCACTGTAAATATATTCAAAATTAAATATATATTTTCTTATAATCTTTGTATAATATAGTATGAGGTTTACGTCTACTCTAATATGTTTTACAACTTTCAAAATTTTTATAACAAAAACAGTTTAATGTCACTAATTTAATGTCACCTAATTATTAAAAAAATGAGAATATTGGCACTCATGCATGACATGCCCCATTTGCATCAGGCCAACCTGACCAATGATCATGTTTAGGATATAAACTATTTTCTTTTTTAAACTTTCAATCATTATTGTGTAATGTGAACAATTAAACAAGCTGTTTAAAATTTACTTTGACATATCAAAAATCATTAAAATGGCTCCACAAAAATATTTATACATAATTATTTAAACATTTTTTATGAAATCAATTTAAACTAAAAGCATTAATTATTAGTCATAACAGTTTTACAAAACATTTTTACAAAATAAATAATAGTTATTCTTAAAATAAACGTTTATTACATTTTAATTTATTAAGACACATTTTTAATTTAAATTCCTTAGGACGTTTGCTGAAATAAATATTTATTAAATATTTTTAATTTAATGTTTTTTATTTAATTTAATTAAAACATTTGCTGAAAAAACTTAATTTAAATAAATAACTTTTAAAAATATTATAAAGTTTTGAATGTTTTGCACTAACAACTTAATAACATTACCCTGTTAACTTAACTAAAGAACAAAAACTTTATATAAAATTAAATAAATAACTAATAGTGTACTCCCTCCCAGATAGTTGAGACAAGCGCAATTTTTATACTCTGGTTACTAGGTTAGCAAGCATTGTTTATAGCGCCTCAAAGTCCTCAAATAATCTATTTACATGCCCAGAGTGATTTAACCTGCTTTATAATAAAGCCTGCTATCTACAAATATTTTGCAAAACTAGTTAATAATCTGTTAAAATAAATCTCTGTTAATATCAAATTATAAATAAAAAAAAACAACCTCAAACTAGTATACATTACCTACTATATTTTCATAATTCGACTTTTCTTTTATTTTTATTTCTTCCCTAATAAAATTAATTGTAAAATATGCTTCAAAACATTTATAAACTTAAATTCTCAGAAAAATTTTCAAAAAATTTCAAACTTGATAACAAAGTATAAAAAGTATTTTAGATAAATAACATTTATACTTTTTTATATTTAACACTATAATAAAGATATTTGTAATAATGATAATTATACTTAACTAGCAGTAAGCAACCCGTAATACGCGTTGTTAGTAAATAAAATTAAAAAAAAAAACAGCGTATAGAAAAGCCTAGAAACTACTTTAAAATAGAAAACCCTAGAAAATGACGTAACTCGACTAATATTAAATTAGCGTATTCATATTATCAGAAGGTAAATGACGTTGATGATGGAACGATGAAAGGAAGGAGGAATGAAAATTTAGAAAAAAAAACACTCACTAAATAATACTGAAATTTTCTTATTCATATTTGCTGTTTATTATTTATTATATGACAATTTATGTGAAAAAATATATATTTTGTTTAAGGCAATTGGGTACTTCAATTAGGTACAACTAGGTACTTCAATTAGGTACAACTAGGTACTTAACTAGGTACAGTTATATGTTTAGGACAATTAGGTACTTAGGTACAAGGTATTCAATCATCAATAAAAAAAACCAATGACAGTACTGGTCTAATGGCAAAGCATTTGTTTCATAAGTGAGAAACTCTGAGTTTATCCTATAGCACTGGGCGGTGATTAAAAAGCACCGCTGTGGACACTGAAAATTTTTTTTAACTTTAACTAATGCTCAAAGTTGTTCAACTAAGTCTCCTGCTAAAGTTCAAGTAAATTTAATTAAGTCTCCTGGTTTGTACTTTAAAGCTTAGTTTGAATTAAGAGATGATTGTAATAACATGTAAAAAAGATAAAAAAAAAAGTTTCCTCATTGACTGTAGCGCCCATAAATATTGATAAATATTATCTTTACATATTATCTAAACATACCATTTCCCTCGTTTATCTAAACTTATATATATATATATATATATATATATATATATATATATATATATATATATATATATATATATATATATATATATATATATATATATATATATATATATATATATATATATATATATATATGTATATATATATATATATATATATATATATATATATATATATATATATATATATATATATATATATATATATATATATATATATAGTTCAATTTGAGGAACCACTACTAGCTGAAACACCATGTATGACATTAAAAGCCCAAATCTTCTGATCAATTCAAATGGCTTAAGCAACAGTTTTTGTTGTACTAAATACATAAAAAAGAATGAAAATTCTTGAAAACATTTACAATGTGATTCTTTCTATAAATCCCGCATCAAAAGATGGCGAACATATTTAATCGAGATGCACTAGTTTTGCAAAGAAATCAGGTTGTGATTACCTGATGAATTGTTAAAATCTTTAGTTTTCTTAAAATATTTTACAATAAAAGTCATTGAAAATTTTATTTCAAAATATAAATATATTGTTAGAACACTTTATTTAAATAACTTTTTTAACAAGCAATGCAAGATAAAACTTAAGTACAGTATTGGACAAAACATTTGCAACCAACATCGAACAATAATTAAAGGAAGTTTGCAGATGCATGCAGAAGCTTCCAGAAGTTTCCAGAATAAGCATCTGGAAGCATCCAGAAGTATTCAGAAACATTTAGAAGCATCCAGACGCATCGAAAAGAAGCATCTAGAATCTTCACACAGGTTCATTTTACTATATAAGAGACATGTAAACTGACATGTAATTCAGTCAGTATATGGAACTCAATCAGTCAGTATTATCAAGACAGTTTATCGAAGTGAGTTTTATCAAAGCATTATTGAGCATTATTGTATTATATATAAGGTAAATGTAACAAAGGTGGAAGACTGCCCTCCAACACTTCTAGAGAAGATTCTATGATCGTCAGATCCGTCAAGAAGGATCCCTGGATATTATCAGTCAAGATACAAAAGCAATTAGAGCTGCCTGTATCGGACCGAACAATCAGACATTCTGTTGAAGCCGAATTGTTTTCTCGACATCCTGCAGAGAAACTGCTGAATTTCACTAAAGAACCAGAAGAAAAGACTCCTGTTTGCTACATCTCATATTGACTGGAATGTGCAGAAATGGCGAACTTTCCTGTTCAGTGATGAATCGAAGTTCAACATCATTGGAAGCAATGGCATTTTCTGTGTACGTCCACCGACCGGAAAATGCCTCGACTTACGTTACTGCCATAAGAACCTGAAGCATGGTGGAGGCAATGTAATGGTCTGGGGATGTTTTTCTGCTAACGGTCTAGGTCCAATACATCGAATCGATGGAATAATGGATCGTTTCATGTATAAAAAAATCCTGAAAGATGTTATGTTACCTCATGCTGAATGGAATATGCCAATAAAATGGATTTTTCAGCAAGACAACGATCCGAAACACACTGCAAAAGTAGTCAAGCAGTCTTGAAACCACTGACTACAAAAAGTAGTCAGTGGTTTCAAGACAAACACCTATCGGTGATTGATTGGCCGTATCAATCTCCGGATCTCAACCCTATCAAAAACCTGTGGGAGATCGTCAACCGCAGAACTAATCGTGAAGGTGTTCGTAATAAGGATCAACTGTTTGAACAAATCTAATAGGCCTGGACAGTGATTCCACAAAGTTTCATTGATCACCTGATCGAATCTATGCCTTGAAGATGCAAGGCTGTGATCGACAACAAAGGATTTGCCACAAAATATTGATAGCAAAATACAGCTTGGTCAACAGTTTGTGGAGTTGTACTTGTTTTGTCCAGAAGGAAATCAACTTTTTTTAATACTTTTGATTAGTTTATTAATTTTCGTGTACAAATAATGAACTTTGTGATGAATAAAACTTGAAGAACATTGTCTCTAAACAATTACATAGTTATTTCTCTAAATTGAAAAAAATGCGGCACTTTTATATAAAGAAACTAAATTAGCATTATTTGGTTGCACTTGTTTTGTCCGATACTGTAAGCTTTATTATTTAACAAGAAAACTACTGCTAACCGCGGTTTTTTTTTTAATTAAAACTGAAAGCTGCTATTTTTTATAAATGCAGTTTTTTGAAAACCCTAGGTATTATACTTGCTTTGTAGGAAGTTTCTGTCAATTGACGTTCAAGAAACGTTCAAAAAAATGTTTGCAGTGAACGCTAAGTAAATATTAGCTGTTTGTTTGTATTGAAGCATTTGTATTGAACATTCAAGAACTGTAAATCGGAGTTCACAAGAGTTTTCATGTAACGCTCGTACCAAACATTATGAAAACTTGAATGAATGTTGTGAAAACTTTACTTGAATGTTAATTTTTAAGTGTCTATACACAATTTTCTAAACCATTTACAGAACATTCACAGAATGTGCTTGAACTCTCTCAACGTTTGTCAAACGTGCTCGAACGTTTTGTGTAGCTGGGTTAACATTAAAAAGTAAGCAATAAAAAAACTAAGAAATAATTTTACAAAAATAATTTCTGAAATTACTATTTTGAACATTATTTTATGACCTTGAGAATGCATCAACCATATAAGCAAAATTTAAAGCTGTGATTGTTGTCAACCCAATGAAAGTCAAATGAAAAAAAAAAAGTAAAAACAAAGTACTAAAAATAATGAGCATTAAAAACAAATCTTACACGGAATGAGCCAAAGGTGTAGATTGACTGACAGCTACAACTTTTTTCTTTTTTGGACTTCTAAAATCTTCGCCATCACTAGTTAAGTCTATACATGATATTTGATTAACTATTTTTTTTCTTTTTTGACTTTTTCCAAGGTTGTCATGGTTATTTAAAAAAACCCTGATGTCTTTTGAATGGCGTTTCTAAAAGAAAACCATTACCTTTGAATTTTTTCATCAAATATTATTTCAACACTCAACTATCATCAATTACAAACCTCCTCAAACAATTGTGAAGTTTCAGCAGGCAATGTATTTAGTGGTTCCCAAGAATCAACCATTGAAAGTAATGCTTTTTTGGTATAGTCATTTTCATCCATTGATATTTCTGAAATCTTTCCATTTAAAGCTGCTGTAGTAACCATTACCTAACAAAGTTAATAAAAGTAAAAATTGGAAAAATTGAAAAATTCAGTACCCACCAGCAGTTTTTACAAAGAAGTAAAAAAAAACAACGTATTTTTGTAAAAATATTTATTAATGATAATAAATATTTACATTTATTATCATAAATATTATTCATAATAATAAAATAATACAAATAGATATTTTTACAAATATTTATTATATTATATTTTTATTATATTATATTTGCTTGTATTATCATGTATCATAACAACCTTTCTCTGAAGCATTGTCCACAAAATGTCATCAATAGTACCCTGAGCTAAAAGGTAATGAATCTGAACAGCATTCTTTTGACCAATTCTATGGCATCTATCTTCAGCTTGAAGTAAAACACCAGGTGTGTGGTGAAGCTCAGCAAAAACAACATGATCAGCAGCTGTAAGTGTGAGACCCTTAAAAATAAAAAACTGCATTTATTAAAAAAGCTTTATAGAAGTTTAAGGATGGAAAATCTTAAAAAGAGCCTCTTTTTTAAACAAATGACAGTTTGAGGCTATAGTGGAACTGCAATTTTAAAGAGAATGTAAGAAACAATAAAAAGAAAGTAAGTAGCTATGTTGTTAATAATTGTTAAAGTAAAATAAAACTAATGAATAGATTTATTATTATTATTATTATTATTATTATTATTATTATTATTATATAAATATGCTAAGTTGTAATGAAATGTTAAAATCTATATTTAGATATGCTTTCAAGTTTTTCACAAAACCTTAAAAAAACTTTTACATAATAGACAAATAATAAAAAATTGTTTTAATAAACTTAATAGCTAGAAAAATATAAATTCGACTTATTAAAAAATGTTATCTATCTGTTTTTAATTTTTAAGCAACAGCTCCTTTTTAGAACAAAACCATGTTTTATTTGTATTAGTTATGTTACAAATAGTTACATGTTTTATTTGTATTAGTTATGTTACAAATAGTTACAAGTTGCATCATTATAATCCTCACAATACTCTCCTAAATACTTTCAAAGTAAAAAGGTTCCACAGTCAAATATTTGTTATATTTACCTGGACTTGAGGCCTAAGTCTTAAGGCTCAGTATAATTTAAGTGCTTATTCCTTAGAAATTGTTTAAAGGGCATATTCCTTAGAAATTCCTTTGAAAATGAAGTGGATGACTATAAAAATCTTGAAACATATATTATTTTACATCTTGTCTAATGTTACTTGCCTTTATGTTTTATTGTATACAGGGACTCTAAACTCCACCTTAGAGTCCTAAATTCCTTATTTGAAAATGATAGATTACAGAAATCGTTCATAATTCATTTCTTTGGAGTCTTTTCTTTTTTCCCATGTATTTTTACATGAAACTAAAAAGATCCTTAACATTTTCAGGTATTAACAAGTAATTACATTGATTATAAACCCAGTTTATTTTTAGACTTTCTTTACCTATAAATATTTTTCCAAATTTCTAAAAATAATTATTATTTTGCTTTAATTAAAATAGTTATTAAGTTGCCACAACCTATTATTCTAGTTCACACATACTTAAGCTACCATCTCTGAGACTCTTTAAAAAAGTTTACAAAATTTAAAAATATTGTTTTCTTTTGTTTTGCAAAAACAAAAAGTAGACAAAAAAAACAATCTTCTAAAGTATATTTTATATACACAGCTAAATGTTTTGGGCTTAAAATAATTCTTTTGGGTCATAATTTCAGACCCAAATAGATTTAAATCTAAAAATGATTTAAGATTAATAGTAAAAAAAAAAAAAACATATAAGACTAAGCTCTGGAGTTCATCATCCTTAAACTCAGAGTCTTAGAGTTAATTATTTGTGAGCCTTGAGTCAATCCAAAAAAAAGCTTCAAATTTAACATATTCCAGATTGATAGAGCTCTAAATACCCCCTCTCTAGAGGTAAAAAGAAGGATTCCAAGATTCTTAACCCAAAAAGAGGGATTCCAAGATTCTTATCCCTAAAGGAAACATTAACAAACAAGTAATAAAATAAAACCTATCGCTATTTGTATTATAATAATTCATTTCAACTTCATGATTTCCAAACTCAGATGTTAAATTTAAGTGAAATTAATAAGATTATTTTTGCCTTCTTTTTCTATGTATTTTTATTAATAAAAAAGTAATTAAAAACTTATGATTATTAAATCATATTAACTCAAAGTATTTTGACATGTAATGGAACACTTTTAAAGTTTTCTAGAATATAATTAAAGTACTTTTAAAGTAAACATAATATAAACCAACTTACAGTAGAAGCTGCTTGAATACTCAGTATTGCAACTCTGTATTCTTTATTAGATTGAAAAGTTTCAACAAGATGCCCTCTTTGTACTGGTGGAACAGATCCTGTAATACAAATATACTTTACTTTTTTCTGCACAAGTGTTTCTTGAATAGCTTGTACCATTGTCATGTGGAAACAAAAAACAAGAAACTTATTTGGCATTCCGTCAATAAGGTCACATATATATTTTTGGACAGCTCCTGCCTATATAAAAATGTACAAAAAAAGGATTAATATGAAAAAAATTCTATGATCAATATAAAATAGATGCATTAGGATAAATCTTAACACTGCAAAAACTCTAATAAATAAAACAATTAAACTTCAAATTTACGATTATGTTTTGAAAGATCATTAATTAGCTCATTTTAATTGATTTAAACAAAAACAAAGTTGCTGATAAACAAAAAAATTGCTAATTTATTGATATTGTAAATAAATACTTTGTGGAAATAATTAAAAAAGTTGATTTTTATCTAGCTTTATAAACTTCATAATTTCTCTGTATCTCTTTTTCAGTGAAAAAGTTAATTGTAGAACAATTCAAAATAAAAATTCATTTCATCAGAATAACGATGACAATAACACAAGCAAATTGATTCAAGAATTCGTTAAGAAGAGTAAAACTCATTTTTTTTTTTTAAATTTTACTTCACCTCCCTAAGCCATAAGGCCACTACAGTCGAGGCGGCTACTTTGTAATTGCTAAAACAAAGCTATATAGAAATAAAAGACAATTATAAATATTTGTTTACCTTAGCAAGAGCAGTATCACAAAACAACTGGTTAAATGGCTGGTTATAATCAAATGCTGACAAAAAAAATCCATCTTCTGAGTTTTTCAACTGTTTCAAAACTTTACGTATCTGTTTGAATTGTTCATCAATTGACTAAATTTATACAACATTAAATTTGATTATGTTTAACACCTTGCTTAAACATTAGACAACCATCTAATGTTCAGGCTTGGACAGGAATGGCGTGCGATCAAGCACTATTGCTGACCGCACAAATTTTTTTTTTTTTTTGACAACTTGACCACGATTGTACAGTAGCTTTCATAAGTTTAGACGCATTCATTTTTTTTTTCATATATGTAAGAAAATACTCAAAATAAAAATAAAATAAAAGTGCTACCGCTATGTTTGATATATAAATTAAAAGAGGAAGTGAAACTCTATTATAGAGTACCTTAATTTTTTTACAGGATGTTTATTACTCATTCTATACCGATTAACACAAAAAAGCTAATTGATAAGCTTGATTTTATTTTGTTCATAAATTTAGACGCAAAATCAAAAAAGACTTATATCTTGTTAATTGATAGTTAATTAGTAGTTTTTTCCCCATATTTCTCATTAATAGGCCTAAATTAATTGATTTTGTCAAAAACCTTATATAAATATGACTTACCTGGAATTAGTTAATCATTATTTAATAAATAAACAAAAGTTAAGTTAGTTTTGCACTAAAAAGACGCGAAAAATGGGCAAAAGACGAATCACTGAAGGCGAAAGATGGCAAATTATTGCGCACATCAAAGAAGAAACCAAAAGTAATAGAGAAATCGCCAAGTTAGTTGGAGTTTCTGGGAAATGCGTTTGGACAACGAAACAAAACTTTCTTCACACTGGTGGTGCCAGCGAGAAAACGAGGCCAGGTAGACCCTTTTCAACCACCAGAAAGGACGATAGTGTTCTTTTTAGAGCTGTCAGAGCTAATCCAAGAACTAGTTACAAAGAATTGACCACAGAATTCAATACAACGCGAAATACATCTATTTCTCAAAGCACAGTCCGCCGAATACTTATCAAATACAAGATTGGAGTCTACACTGCTTTGAAGAAACCACTTCTGCATCCATACGATAAACAAAGGAGACTAAAATGGTATTGTGAAAGAAGGTATTGGACAATAGAACAATGGGAAAACATTATGTGGAGTGATGAGAGTAACTTTGAGCTTATCAATCGCAAATCTAACAGAACAGTCAAAAGAATGGCTCACGAAAAGTATTACGCTAGGTACATTAGACCGACTGTACGAAGTGGAGGAGGCTCAATAGGAGTCTGGTCATGCTTCAATTATAAAGGTGTTGGTATGTGCCAAACATACACCGGAAGAATCAACTCCAGAATATACGTAGAAGTACTGGAAAACAACCTAATTCCATCAATTGACCTGCTTATGCTCAATGATAAACCATGGAAACTTCAACAAGATGGCGCTAATGCACATACTGCATACTATACAAAGAAGTGGTTCAACAATAATAATATCATGACAATACCGTAGCCTCCATACTCACCTGATTTGAACGCGGTTGAAAACATTTGGGCTTAGATTGACCGTGAATTAGCAAAGGTTCAATATTCCCCACTTGGTCAGCTAATGGAATTCCTTAAGGAGACCTGATATGGGGTCCCAGAAGCGATGTGCAAAAATCTTGTTGAGTCTATGCCTAGAAGAGTTCTTAGTTGTATTAAAGCAAAAGACGGATACACAAAATATTGATTGGTTTTTAAATTACGCCTTTTAATGTATCGTGCGTCTAAATTTATGAATAATTTTATTTGTCTAATTTTTTTAATACCATGTAGTTGTACCTAATTATTACTTAGCATTTCTTTTTGTTTTGTAAACTTTTTTTAAATTTTGTATTCTGTATGTATTTATCTAATAAATAGAAAAAAAACTAAACCGAAATCTTTTTTCGTCATTGTTTTATTGTTAAAAAACTAAAAATTTCTATTCTCAAATATGAGTGCGTCTAAATTTATGAAAACCACTGTATATGTTTCGAGGATTTAAAAGTTACAAAAATAACAATTTTATTTGTGTTAATACGGTTAATATATATATTAAAAGTTTAGCACCAAAGACAACCCACTGTTATTAAGGGTGGTAGCTCTCTCTACAGAAATAATTGAAGATATGGAAATCCTTTAAGAGGAAAACTGGCTAAAACATGGATTAGAAAACCATAGCAAATTAACTAGAGCATTACATTCTTGGTGTGGAAAAATAACATTGTTGGTTTTGTCTCTTATAACAAGTGTAGATTCCTTAGAAGCAGAAAAGTTATTAAAATGTAATGATGTACCAGTTAAAAGTAAGTTGTATTCTGAAGCTATTAAATCAAGCTAGCAAAAAACTGTACATTCGCATCACCGTCCCATTAATCTTGTTGCAGCAGATATTGATACAACAAGATTAATGAGAAAGGAAAACATGTACATCCAATGTTATCATTATTGGCATGTTCAAATCATCAAATGATGATGATATATCAAATGTCTCTGCAAATGTTCAAAGCTTGCAATTTAAAATCTATCAAGATCAACCTATTTTCACCTTCTCTAACATCAGTGAACAAATCAAACACATCAAATTAGCACCAGCCGGTCATGAAAGCATATCTAACAAACTACTCTATGCAGAGCGTCTTGAACTAGTTGAAGGCCTTGTTATAATTTTTAACCATTGTATCAACAAATGTATTGTACTATCTGAATGGCTTTATGCAAACATCATAACTAATCCAAAAGTCAATAACCTTTCTCTACCATTTGACTACTGACGGATCTTTATAACATCTGCAACATGCAAAATAGTTGAACACATCCTTGTAATACATACTATATCGTATGTTCAAGATAAATTATTATCAAATAGCCAATTTGGTTTTCTTCCTTGTAGAAATACAATTGATGCCATCATACAAGTAATTGATGACTGGGGATACGCTATTGACCGCAATACCTCATTAACTGCTATATTCTTTAATTTTTCAAAAGCATTCGACCTCGTTGACCACATTATCTTTATGCGCAAACTTGAAATCAACCTCCCATCATCAGGCCTTCTTGTAAGAGGCGTGCGATCGCACGCCTTATATGACCACACATATAGTTCTTTGTTTGAACAAGTTGACTACGGCTCATAGCAAGTTTTTTTAGCGCGTTTAAAAAATTGCGCTAAAAAAAAAAAAAAAGCAAATTAAAATAAACAATCCATAAACTTAAAAGAGAATAAAATCCTTAAAATAATATATATAACAAAAATTAACCTAAAAAAGTAAAAATATTTAAAGAATGATAAAACAATTTTGCTTTAATTTTGCTTATACAAACATTGCCGTTTGATTAAGATTTTTTAAAACAAACACATTTTTTAAAAATAATTTTGCAATAATTAGTTTTTTGTTTATTACAAAAAACACTCATTTAAAATGAAAAACAATCAATTACAGAGACTTTTTTTAAAAAAAGCCAAAACATGATTACTTTTTTCAATAGCGTCACTTTTAAGTAATATAGATAGAAAGTAATTATGTTTTAGCATGGTTTTTGCATGCGCTCACAAAAGTATACATAATTTTAGATAAAATAAATGCTTTTGCAAAAACTTCCAAAGAAACCGTCCAAAACAATTCGATTGCTTTTTTTTATTGAAGAAAGCGATCATAATGTTTAAGCATGGTTTCTTTTCTGTTTTTAGCAATTACATTAAAAGTTTAAAAAAAAAAAGATTTTATTATAAACAAAACTGTGCACGTTTTTTTTCTTAATTTTATTTTTTTCCATACAGTGAAATAATGTTTGTTAGCATATTAAAAACAATTTTAAAAGTTTTTTTTATTGTGCGTTTATCATTAATTAATTGCATGCGCTTTGCAAATGTGTAAAAAAAAGTTTTTGAAAAATAACAATTGAATTAATTTACCAAGCATCTTTGATATATTTGATAACTTATTAACTAAAATAAAAATTATTTGAGATTTGTTTGACATAAATCTCTTAAATTAGACGTTCGTCAATAAATAAAGATAAGCAAGTCAACGTTTATTAAAAAAACGGTACGTCATGCCCCGGGATAAAAAATAGTTGGCAAATGCGACTGTTTCAAGATTTTTTTATAGTAAATAATTTGACTTTTTTTTAGTCAATAGTTTCTTTATTAGAAATTATATTTCCATGATAAAACGGTTTGTAATTATTTTTTGATAGCTTCTGTACTCATTTTGCCTTAAACTCTAATCTGAATTTTTATTCAACGATTGCTTTTACTAAGTTTCATTAAAGTACTCATGGCAATTTAATTGTAATTATGGAATCAATTAAAAATCTCATTTACATTTGATTTGTTTTTTTTTGCGCATTTTTTAAATGCGCTAATTATTAAAACTTGCAAAGAGCCATGGTCAAGTTGTTTAAACAAAGAACTATATGAGTGGTCATGTAAAGCGTCCGATCGCACGTCTCTTACGAGAAGGCCTGCATCATGGTTATCATCTTGGATTGGAAAGTGGCTTTCAAACTGTAAACAACAGCCTACTGAATGGAAAGATGTTTTATCAGAAGTGATCCTCTTTTTAATCTATGTAGTAGACATAAATGACTACCTCCCGAAGGGCATTACACACAAAAAATATGCAGATGATATCCTAGCTTACATAACTGGTAATAACTATTCCCTTTCACAAGAAGTAGCAGTCTATAACAATGGTGCAATTATAATAAAATGTTTCTCAACATAGCCAAATGCAATGTTATTTTTATTGGCAGAGGTGAAAAGCCAGTCATGACATTAAGAAAAATTCTTGAAGTTGCAAACTCATACAAATACCTTGGCATCAACCTCAACTCAAGTCTCAATTTTGACAACAATAGCCTAGTCTACATAAGAAAATTGCCCCTAATGAGTATCTTTTTAAGCAGCTCCGAATATTTGGTGGATGGTTCCAGCCCTTGCTTATATCTAACTACTGCGCTTATTGCCTTAGCCACTTTACTTACAATCCAGTTATCCTCACCTCAACGACCAATAAAACTAAATCTAGGATGCAAGTCTTTCAAAACTGCCTTCTAAAAGCTGCTGGTATTGATCCACAGGAAGCAAGCTTTCTTCCTATTGAAGAACATCTTGATTTCGTATGTCTCAGCACACTTAAACAAATTTTAAACAAACCTAACCATCTGATCACACTTAGTCTACATAAAAACAATCACTCACATTCCATTTTCAAATTTAATAGCAGATCTGCAAAATCAACAATGTATTTCAACACATATCTACAAAAATTTATCCACCACCTTCGTCCTTCGTAATGATGCATATAAACCTGGAGTTAACTCTACCCTTTACATTACCTGAAATCATTCAATAGAATATATCAAAATATTGTAATATTAGTTTTTTGTAAACTCAAATCAATAATTATTTCAAGAAAAGATTATATATATATATATATATATATATATATATATATATATATATATATATATATATATATATATATATATATATATATATATATATATATATATATATATATATATATATATATATATATATATGTATATATATATATATATATATATATATATATATATATATATATATATATATATATATATATATATATATATATATATATATATATATATATATATATATATATATATATATATATATATATATATATGTATATATATATATATAACAGTGGTGTACACTAGACTTTTAGATGTTTGAATTTTGACACATACACCAATTTTGCAAACTCCAAACTTTTGTATGTTCATGCTAATGTCAAATGAGAATGTTTTGCAAAAAATTGTGGTGATTGGAGCTTGGGGACAAAAAAAACCAAATTTTTGGGCCCACCCAGCCCTTAACGTGGGAGCAACAAGTTGATAAAATAATTTTTTTTAGTATTTTTATCTAAGTTTATAATCATCAACAAATTTCAAATTTCATCCAATAATTTCTTATTTTTCGAAAATTATGACCATATAAAGTTTTAACCCCCCTCAATTTGAGGGGGCTGTAAACTTTGTAGGGTCATAAAAACTAAAAACTAAGAAGTTATTGCATAAAATTTGAAATTCGTTGATGAATATAAACTTAGATAAAAATACTAAAGAAATTATTTTATTAACTTGTTGCTCCCACGTTAAGGGCTAAGTGGGCCTGAAAATTGGGTTTTTTTTGTCCCTAAGCTCCAATCACCACAATTTTTTGCAAAACATTCTCATTTGACATAAGTATGAACATACAAAAGTTTGGAGTTTGCAAAATGTGTATTAGTGTCAAATCTCAAACATTTAAAAATCCAGTGTACACCACTGATATAATGTAAATATAATATATATATATATATATATATATATATATATATATATATATATATATATATATATATATATATATATATATATATATATATATATATATATATATATATATTATATATATATATATATATATATATATATATATATATATATATATATATATATATATATTTATATTTATATATATATAATATATATATATAACTACTTTTTTATATTTATTGCTCCCAGTTATAATTACCTTTTTATATTTATTGCTCTCAGGAATTTCAAAAAAAATCTTAGATCTTCTTTTTGATGGAAGTTCTGTAAGCACCTAAAAATTAAACAAAACAGAAATGTCGAAGATACTTTTGGTAATAATTTGTAGTGTTTATAATTGTGAGATTTGAGTCAATTGATTTGTAAAATAAGATGAAACTATGAGTTGACATAAGATTAAATAGAGACCTTGTTTTGCTTAACATGGTAATAACATGGCTGTAAAATTTGATTTGTTTAAGACCTGTAGCATCATAAAGTTTTCCTTGAAATGCTACAGTGATTGTCTGGCAAAAACTGCAGCACATTTGCTTTTTTTGCTTCATTAATTAGATTCTAAGAAACTACAAGAAAGCATTTCTCAAGCAGATATTAAAAAAAAAAAAAAATTATATATCTTTCTATTGCGCTATTTGCTTATACTCATGTCAGTTTCTACTGCAACATAATTTTCATTTTGTGTTCATGTGTTCTCATTTTTAAAGTTCAAGAACATCTAAGAAGTTGTTACATGTGTAAAATAATCATCATTTTATATACAATAAAATTCAAAAACATAACTGTGTAAACTTGAATGCTTAAACTTGTGTTAAAAAACATATAGATACATATTTTGTATGATTTTTTTATATACTATATACAACTACTACTACTACTGTGGCCACAATATAAGACATAAAATAAGTATATATAGATGTAAAATAAAACTTTTCTGCAAAAACAATTTCTTATAATATTTAAAGATATTTCAAGAAATTAGTTAAAATATATATTTTTTAAATTTATTCTTTTTCACTGTTTTGCAACATAACGTTTTTACAGTTTCAACAGATTTTTGTGGCAAGTTATGGAATTTTATATTCTATGAGAAAAGAATTTTTTAGAGGCAAAAAAAAAAAAAAATTAAAATCTAACTTTAAAAATGTTTAAAAATAATTTTCAAAAAATGGAACAATTTTTTAAAAATCATTTTTTTTCTTTTGATTTGTTTATCATTTGAAGATAACTATAATAAATTTAAAATTTTTAACTTGAAAATTTTTTTTATTGTAAATATGATAACTATAAATTAACAATTAAGAAATCCTTATTAAACCCCCTTAAAAAAAATTTGTTTTGAGGAAGTTATTTAATACTGCAGCTTATAATAACTATAACTTATAAAAACAACATTTTATATTTGTAAATAATACTGCACAAATCATTAATGAACTTTAAATCTACCAATTGTTAAATTAATTATAGAAATAGACTATGTAAAAAAAATAAAAATTTATAAAATTCAAAAACAGGAAATTTAAAAATTGAAACCTCATTTTTTAATCTTCTTATCATTACATTTCGAAGTAGCCTGTTCAAATCTTCCAAGTTTGAAGCTCCTCTAAATAAAAAAAATACTGATGATGAAAAACTGACACTCCTAATCATTATGATCTTATAATTACAAACATTTTTTTACTAATAAGCAACAAGTACCATAAACCATATACCAATACCATAAACAAACCTTATAACTATAATAAAGCAACAACAACAAAAAAACTTTTTTTACTCTCTAAGAACAAAATTTAAAAAATGACGATAATTAAAAAAAAATTTATTTTATTATTTAAGCATATAATAAATAGAGAAGCATACAACATACCTTGTTTGAAACGAATTGAATATTTGGCCTCCACGACCACGAACAGTCTCAAAATAACCTCCGCAGAACCTTTCACCAAAATCATGAAAATTGTTAAACTTAGTTGGATGCAAAAGATGAAGTTGCGGATAAAGCTATAAATCAAAGGGAAAAAGTAACAATATTTTCTTTCATTTAATGGATAAGAATTTAGTTAAAAATTAATACTTCTTCAGGACGAGACAAAGATGGTGTACCAGACAACAGTATAACATGAGGAATTCTCTTTAGGGAATTTAAAATAACTTTGGTACGAACTGTTTTCATACTTTTTAAGAAGTGTGATTCGTCAACAATCACAACACCAAAATTTGATTTAGCTATAAGGTCAGAAACTTTAGCATTCTTGTGGCTGTGAGAAATGCTAATCAAACCATAACTAATTATTGTAACTTTAGCTACAAACATCTGACTAAAAAACAAACACAATTAAAACAAACACAATTAAAACAATTACGATTAACAAGGTATTTTAAATGCAAAAACTCAAAGCAACAATAGTATTGCAGCATTTATTCATAAAATATCAATCATAAACCAGTAAAACTGGATTATGTTTGCTTTTTTTTTTATTAGAAGATATATAACAACAAAAAAAATCTTACCTCAAGTCTGCAAAGCTTCTTATCATGTTAATATCACCAGGTAGTAAAAATGGGAGCCAATCTTCAAGTTCATTAACCCAATTGTACCGTAGTGAAGAAGGGGCAATGATTAATAAAGGCCATTTCTCATAAAAATAGTATGCAATAGCAATTGCTTGTAGAGTTTTACCTAAACCCATCTAAACATAAAAGTTGAGAATACATAAAAAAACAAACATAAATGTAATCTGTATTAAAGATGTGCAATAGTTTCGCTTAATGAATTTTTCTAGCACAAATTCACAATTTTGGATTTCCAATCTAGAATTTACAATTATGACGGAATGTTTTGAAAAATTGTTTCCAGAAAATTAAAAATTTAACAAATTCTATAGTTAAACGCTACTTTGAAATTCATTTCAGCGCAAGATTTTCATAATTCTGGCATACCAAAATATTTTAAAAAATTGTTTCTTGAAAATTAAAGAAAAGCTTTTGAAAAATGTTGATCAGTAGTGCAACAGTTAATTAAACAACAAATTCTATAGTTACTAGTTACACTATAACTTTTATTGTTTTTCAACTATTTATTAACTAATAAAACTTGTAGAAAGATTGAATTAAAGGAGCAACAAGACATAAAAAAGATTTAATTAAAGGGAAAATAAGTCAAAAAAAAAAAATTAATTAAAAAGACAATTTGTCAAAAAAAAAAAAAAAGAATTAATTTAAAGGACATCAAGTCAAAACAAATGCTGAAATAAAAATAAATAAACAAAAAATTTTGAACTAAATTTTCGTTTTCACTATTTTAAAGTTTGATAAGTACTTTAATTATTTTATCAAAACTAATAATTAGTTTTTGAAGAAAGAGGATGATTTCTGTTTATTTAGCATAAATAACTTTTAAAAGTACCAACATGAAACCAAATAAATTACCTCGTCTCCAATAAGAACTCTGGAAAAAAAAAAAAAAGAAATATATTCTATTAATTACTATTTCTATTTTATTATTCTTATCAATACAAATACTTCTGTATAATACAAAATATATTTTGTATTATACAGAAGTAAAAAACTGACCTGCCTTTCATTTTAATTCCAAATCGTATGCCTTTTTTTTGAAAATTTGTCAATGACCGGCGAATTTGTTTCGGCAAAAAAGTAAGTGAAATGTGATCATCATGATTATTCATTTTCAAATATTTATTAATTTTTTTTTCAAATATTTTTAGGTATTTATTAACTCTTCTTCTTCAAACATTTTTAAATACTAATTCCTCTTTTTCAAATATTTTAAAATATTAATTTTTTTTTTAAATCTTTTCTAATATATATTAATTCTTCTTTATAATTTCATTTTTAATGTGAAAAACCTAAAAAAAAAAAAAAAAAAAAAACAAGCATTTATACTTTAAATATATATATATATATATAAATATATATATATATATATATATATATATATATATATATATATATATATATATATATATATATATATATATATATATATATATATATATATATATAAACAGCATCCAACTACACAGCAAAAGAGATTTAGTTGTATATAATTTATAGCCTAAAAAAATATATTATATTAAAAAAGATAGCTGATTTTCTCACAAATTTGTCATTTTGTCAAAAGGAAAACAACCTAAAAATAATGTTATAAATAAAATTGTGTAAAATTACCATATTGTTTTTTAAATAGGTTAATTACACTGATGTTTTTTTAAAAAGAACATTAAAAAACTTAATATTTTCAAATGTATTTTAAACAAATATATTCAAGAAAAAAATATCTCTGTATATGTTAATGAATACACCATAAAATAAATTAAGCTAAATTTACCTTTAAGCTATTAAAGTTATCTTAAAACCACCATATAAAATTTTATAGCTTTAGTAAAAGATAGCAAATGCTTAGAATAAAAAAAAAAAAAAAATTGAAAAAAAGTAACTAAAATAAAATTAAAATATTTAAAACATAATCAGTCTATATGAGCATAATTTTATTATCAACTAAAATGATAATACAATATTGATTTAAATTAGTTTAAAGTTTTTAGATGTTAATCTGTTAATGATGAGACTTCTTTGATTTTGATTTGCTCCCACCTCTTCCAGCTCCCCTGCCACTTTTACCACCTCCTCTTCCACTTCCTTTGCTGCCTGTACTTTTTTTAACAGCAGACATTCTACTTTTAACTATTTGTTCTTTAGATTTTAAGGCTCCTTTCATTTGTTTTTTGTTAAATCCTTTTGCATTGCCCTGAATTTTTTGATTCACTTTTCCTAAATAAATCAACATTTTAATCAGCAATGTATAAATAATAATATTAAAAACGAATATATATATAGTTTATTAAATTTTTAGTTTTAATTTTAAATTACAAAAATAAATTAAAATTCAAAAACCTTTATGTTTAAACTTGCGACTCTTGAAATCTGGAGTGTCATCTTCATTTGAGTTAGTGTGTCGTTTTTTAATCCATTGGTTATAGCTAACTTTAATTAAGAAAAGTAATTTTTAAATATGCACACAATTAAAAAAAAAATACATAATTATAGTTTACACTTTTCTCCACATTTTTAAAACAAGATGTTTATTAAGTAATGAACTTTTTAAAACAGTGAACAGTATGGAATCATTTTTTGTAAAGGAAATCTTTTGTGTCTGACCATGCATAATGTGTCTAAGAAGTAACTTTATTTGTTAAAACTTTAGAATTATAAAAAATGAGTAAATACCGATATACTCTGAGGAGGTAAATTAAAAGAAAACTAAAAAGAAACACTTTAAATTATCCAATAAAAACCAAAAAAACTTTATTTAATAAAAAAACAACTTTAAAATTTATTGCAACTATTCATTGAAAGCAATATTGTAATGAAATTCATTGAATATTCCAAGCAACATTGTAATATTGCAATGCATAGTGTTTATTTTATCATATAATCAGCTCAACCATGGTTTACAAATTACTATGGAGTAACTGAATCTGCTTAAACTTTTATAAAAATGCTAACTGTGTTGAATATTTAGATAGTGTTTTAATTATTTTAAGTATCAAGAAACACTCTATTGAAAAATTGCAGTATGTGTAGTATGACCAGGTTTTGTCTTTATGAGTCTTTTCATTTTATTATAGTTAAATAAAGTTTTTCAAAATAACTTTGAAAATATAAACCAACATTTAAATATAAAAAAATTTAGATTTAACCTCAAATTAAAACATTTTATTTCCTTAGGCAAAGAATAGTGAAAAAGAACAAAATTTAGCAAGAAAAAAAAAAGAACAAAATTTAGCAAAATTTATAAGAAAAATCTCATATATAACTTGAGTAAATGAAAGATAAAGAAAGATAAAGTTACCTTTATCTTTCTTTATCTTTCAAAAAGATACAAAAAAAAAAAAAACTTTAAGAAAAATAATGCAAGAACTAAATAAATTGAGGAGCTTCATAATCCTTAAATTTTAATAATATAAAAACTACGTTTTTTATTCAGGATTTTTATTTATAACAAATATGGTTGGTTTAAACATTTTGTAAATGCTTTTGATAGATTAAGCAAAGATACAGTTTGAGAAAATGATTTCGGTGTAAAAATATGATGGCTCATTGTGTTTATTTGTCTAGTTTTAGTTTATTTATCTTTCAGAATATAATGGAAATCTAAAATTTATAAAAATTTAAAAAATTGCCTTTATTTGTTTTAGCACAGCCATAGCAGCAAGTGTCTTCGGTGTGTAAAGGAATAATTTTGAAAACTAATGAAGGAGGGGAGGGGGCATTGTAAGGGTAAGAAAAAGAATCTAAGGATCTTTTTTCTTCACTCGAGTGAAGAATAAAGGTCCTTAGATTCAATTGATTTTAACTACAAATAGTTTGTTGCAGATGGATGCTCTAATAAACACATGAAAGAATACAAGAACTGCTCTTTTGCTTCTCTTTGAACTGTGTGATGCAATAAAAACTTAAGTGAAACATTCGATTTCACCCTCGGAATTTTTAACCCCCACAATGTTATATTGGGATTAATGTTATATTGAGATTAATGTTATACCGAGAATAATGTTATATTGAGAATAATGTTATATTGGGATTAATGTTATATTGAGATTAATGTTATATCGAGAATAATGTTATATTGGGATTAATGTTATATTGAGAATAATTTTATATCGAGAATAATGTTATATTGAGATTAATGTTATATCAAGAATAATGTTATATTGGGATTAATGTTATATTGAGATTAATGTTATATCGAGAATAATGTTATATTGGGATTAATGTTATATTGAGATTAATGTTATATCGAGATTAATGTTATATCAAGATTAATGTTATATTGGGATTAATGTTATATTGAGAATAATGCAATCTTAATCTTGATCTTAATCATCTTAATCGATTCCAAAAATCATTGTGCTAAAAAACGTGCCAGAACTCATATTTTTCCAGATATACTAAAATTAATTCCAAAAACAGCTACCAAATTATTAAACAAACTTGATATATTGCACATAAAGTTGAAATATTTTGAATTATAAGATTTAAAAAAATATATATTATAGTGAACTCTGGGATTTATTAGCTCTATTTTTCACTAAAAAAAAAATTTTTTTTTTTTTTGAAAGTGATTAAAAGAATTTATAAAAATATAGACTTTTTGTATTTAAAAAATTTAATTCTGTAACAGATTACTAATATCAAAAAATTTTGAAACTTAAATCCTACAAAAAAAAATTTGTTGAGATTAGTTGGTTTTTTATAGGCATATACCTGCCTTTTAGAATGTTAAACAAAAGAATGTCGATGTTATAACTTTAAAAAACAATTGTAATACAAAAAGATACGCATTGGACTTATATGAAGATGAAATTAAATTTCCACTTTCAGTTTTAATTTTCTTTGAATTGTTCCCAGTTGTAGAAACGAATCTCTTGCGTTTTCTGTCCCTAAAATATATATATATATATATATATATATATATATATATATATATATATATATGTGTGTGTGTGTATATATATATATATATATATATATATATATATATATATATATATTATATATATATATATATATATATATATATATATATATGTATAGATTTCTGAAAAATCTTGGTTTTATGAGTGTTTTATGAACTTATGAACTCTAGACATTTAAATTGATTTTCTAGAAATCCAAATTATATTGATTTTCTAAAAAATAAAAATCAATCGGTTTTTTAGAAATTCAAATTTGTTTTATATATTGGGACACCATGAAAAATAAATATGGATTTTTGAAAAATGATTTTTGTAAGAGTGCACACACAATTATATTAAATATGTCAAAAAGAATTATATTGAAAAACTGTTACAAAAAGATTAATTACAAAAAAAAAAAAAAAAAATTAGAAAAAATCCATAAATTAACTACCATTTCTGAGCAGCTTTTTGATTTTTCATTGTGACACGATCATCTGAAAATACCTCTAATGAGACATTTTGTGCTTCTTTTTCAAAAGAAGTTAATTGAAATCTATAAACAAAAGATAATACATAATCAAAGGAGATAATATATAGATAAATAAGATAATATATAGATAAAGAATTAGGCTTTAAATAAGTACAAGTAATATAGAATAAAAAAAAGAAATTGAATATTTTAGATAAGGCACTATTCTATTAGAAGTTTTTATGAGCTAGCTGTGTGTTATCCAATTAGTTAATTGAAGCATTTATTGAAAAACAGAAAACTTATTGTTCTTTAATTCTTTCAACTTTATTTTGAAGATGTCAACATTAATATTTATAACATTTAATGTGACCTTTGATGATTTCAGCAATTTTTAAAAAAGTTAAAAACTTAATTCAAAGCTCTGATTTTTTAATGTATTATTTTTTTATTAAAATTAATAACAACTTGAATATATTTTTAAAGATAAAGTAAAATTCTTTCAAACTATTTGATCACAATTCATTTAAAATCAAAACCTGTTTTTTTGATATTTAAATATTTATAAAAAGAATAACCAATTGCATTTGTTAACTAGAAACATTATAATTAGTTTGTTTTTAAGCATAAAAAAGGATTTTCAATTTATTTACCCTTTTTCCCTGTCTATATCGATTGATTGATGTGGTATATAATTTTCATCTTTGTACACTGTCAAATGATAATAAAAAACATGTAAAAAGTAGTAAGAAAAACATTTTAATTATCAATTTTTAAAATTGGTATTATATAAAACTATATTATATAATTATTATATAATTATTATATAAAACTATATATTATATAAAAATATTTGGAATTTGAGAAATACATTACAAATAAAAAATATACTAATAAAGTAATATAAAAAAAAAAAAAAAAATTTTCAAAAAATAAACAAATGCTAACCATTTTTATTTATAGAGAAGACATCAGCAACATACTTGTCCTAAAAATGATAACATTAAAAACTAAAACATTTTGATTAAAATAATAACACATCCACATCCATATAACTGTTTTTAAAAATAAATAAATTTATTTATAACTTGCGAAAAAAATTACTTACATCAGCCAAGGTTTCAGTCGGAATTTCTGTTGATTCAAGAGATAAAGGGGTAACCTTGGATTTAGCTTTGCAATGTTCAATGACATTAGTATGATAAAGTCTAAGAGATAAAAAATAAATAAAATAACTTTTATGATTTCTACTATAAATACAAAGAGAACCTTAATGCAAATTAAATTATTTTTGGAAACAACCAATAAAATTTTTAATAAGAAAAAAAACTTTTTATGCACAGAATAATTTAACCTTTTTTCTTTCATTACATTTACTGTCTCTTTTGATTTCTTTGTGTTCATTGTTTCAAAAACAGTCTAAAAAAGAAAGTATTAAAAAAACCATATTATGTTTACATTTTTATTTAACAGCTTGTTAATATTTGTTTACTTTATTAACCCTTTATCCCTGGAAAAGGATAAAGGGTGGGTGGGGTGGGATTGTTAAAGTAAGCTCGGGGGTGGGGTAATACAATGTAGGAGGCATTTTTTTTTCCTTTCATTTTTATATTTAATTTTTTTTTGAAACAGTCTTTTTGACTATTCTAATAGGTTTTTGCTTGTGCCTCCTTGGTAGTGGCTATGCAACTCTAGGCTGGTATTATGGTCTCCCAAACTCTGTGGTAGCTCTCAGAGAGGCTGATGAGATCAACAGCAGCAAAATATCAGAGAATTAACAATGCCATGTTGTGCATGGATGGTGTCCCTGTTAATTCTTTTGGTGCGCATTGTCTAGAAAACATAAGGAGCCCTATGTTACAACTAAGGATTAATTAACAAGACTGAGGAAATTGCATAAATTAATTGCTTAGGAGCCCGTGGTCTATCTATGAGTCAAATTCTCTTCAAACTTGAAACATGCCAAAAGAAAGCCAAAATATTAAACATTAAAAACCACTTAACTGTTTTAATACATTTTTTACTAATTTTGTGGTTTGGGAAGCAACCTTCATTCAGTTGAATCTTACCTCTTGCAAAATTCAAAAGACTTGCTTGATCATAGCAAGACTAATTTAAATTCTAATATTCCTTTTTCTAATCTCAGTATAGATGGTTACTATCTTTTAATTCTTAAAGACTCCAATAGTGACACGCTTGGCTGGGGGGTATACATAGGCATAAAATCACATATTTGTCGTGAAATCAGGTTCAAATTCTTTGACCATTTTTTTGTGAGCTTTTGCCTAGCATCTCTTCACTCTACCACCTTTCTCTTTGTTCTTTATTGTTCTCCTTCTTTCCATCATTGCACTCTATTAAATATTGTTTCTGATCAAATTGACTATGCTCTTTTTTATTTACCCATAATCTAACAAAATTGTTCTCCAGAACTCTTTCCATTTCTCTCTAAACTATTTAATAAGCGCTTGACCGAGTCTTGTTTTCTTGCCTGCTGGATAATAGCATGTTGTTCCAATTTTCAAAAACTCAGGTGAACATTCTGACCCCTCCAATTATTGTTCAATCAGCCTTCTTTCTGTTATTAGCAATATCTTTGAGATTTTGATCAACAAATTTCTTACATCCCATCTTGAATCAATTAACTTACTGTCAGACAATCAATACAGTTTTCAATTCTTTCACTCTATGGCTGACAATCTCCAATCAAAACTGTTACTTCCTTATCTACCAGCAAAACAATTCTCCTGAAAACAGACATCTGTTTATTATTATATATTACTGCTAGAAACCATTGTAAAAAGGTTTTATCAAACGCCAAAGCGTCAATTCTCAGGTCATGAAATCTTGTATTTCATCACAAAAATTAGGCTTTAAAATTATCAATAATGAAGGCAAATCTATTATTCCACCTCTCTTGTATGGTTCAGACTATGTCACCTCACCTAAAGACAAAGCTGAATTGTTTGCTAAGAACTTTTCCTCATATATTCCTCATTGTCGTCTATACTTTCAAAACTATTTAAAAAGTACTTATCATAATCTTGTTTTCCAGCCTGCTCAAAGCAGCATCTGTTATCCCTTTTTTCAAAAATTCTGGAGAACGATCTGATTTGTCTTACTACTGTCCCATTAGTCTTTTTCCTATCATAAACAAGGTTTTTGAATCTTTAATTAACAAACACTTAACCTCTCATCTTGAAACTAACACCTTACTTTCTGATCATCAATATGGATTTCAATTTTCTCATTCTACACCTGATTCGCTAACAGTAACAACCAATAGGTTTTATCGTGCATTAGATAAAGGTAGAGAGGCTAAGGCTATCACTCTGGACATTTCTAAAGCTTATGATAAAGTTTGGCATGCTGGTTTCTCCATAATCTTTTTTCTTACAGTGTATCTGGTAACATCAAACTATTGTCACATTACTGTAATGTTACTTCTTTTTCTCTTTTCTACAATTACTATAAAAGGCACTGCTCTAAAGAGCTAGCACTTCTTGTGTCATCTACTAAAATTCATTCTCATGTTACTCATCATTCAATTAAGTCTCATCCTTTTTTCTGTAATTGTTCCTAAGTGCTCCAAAAACTCTTACTCCTCTAGTTTTTCTCCTTGAACATCAGTTCTTTGGAACTCACTGCCTTCATCTTGCTCTTCTGATTCATACAATTTGCAATTTTTTAAGATGTCTGTTAATAGTTATCTTGTTCTAAATCTTTTCTCTTCCAGTAACTTTCAACTCTAATAGTAGATGCTTGCAAATGTGTTGGAAGCGAAGATGTTAAAAAAAGAAAGACTCATGCTTAAACAATACAATCAATCAATCAATTATATATTCTGGAAAAAAAGATCTAACTTCCACGGTCGTTACAAATAGTTATAAAAACTAATTTAAAGTAAAAACCTCTTTGATGATATAAAACATATTATAGACACATATAGTTATAGTGATAATAAAAATAGCAATAAATTAACAAAACAGCAATAACGAAAATAATTAGTTGTATAATAATAAGAATAACAATAATAATATCACCAGTAAGTATAATTAACAACCAATAATAATGATTAAAATAAAAACATGATAATAATAAATACAATACATATATAACTGTGTTAAATAAATATTTAATAGAAGGCTGTTCATTAATTACATCAACAAAAATTATAAAAACCAGTAAAAAAGAATTAAATCAATACAATCTTCCATACAACAATCAATTATATATACATAGTTACAGTTACAAACAGTAATAAACTGACAAAATGTAACTAATAACAATGACATAAAAACGATCATTGATAAAAGACTACAAAGACTCGATAAATATAATAATTTTAGTTTTTATAATATAATAACAAAAATTTATTGTGTGTATAATAAACAAATGAAGAAAATATAAACAAAAAAACACTTATTATACATAAAATTAAGGTTAATAAAAGTAAAAATGCATTAAATGCATTTTTATATATATATAGTAAAATAGAGATAAAAATTATATAATATAGTAAAATAGAGATAAAATTTTATATATATATATATATATATATATATAGTAAAATAGAGATAAAAATATGCTTTCACATTGTCAAAGTATATTATCTTTTGCTTCAGTAAAATTAGGCATGGCAAAAATCCCGGAAATTTTCGATCCCAAGATTTTGAGATAGAGAAATTTGTCCCCGAGAAAATCCCAGGATTGAATAGAAAAAAACGCAAATGCATATATATATATATATATATATATATATATATATATATATATATATATATATATATATATATATATATATATATATATATATATATATAAACTTTTATAAATCACACATTTGAAAATTAAAATGAATGGATATAAAACTGGAATTAAAATCGCGCATACTTTTGGAAGCAGAAAACTCAAAATAAAATTAATGTATACCTTCTATTAAAAACTTTTGCTCTTTTTACCAGCAAGTGCTTAAATTTTATATATATATATATATATATATATATATATATATATATATATATATATATATGTATATATATATATATATAAACGTTTTAAAAGGTAAACATTGCAAAGAGAATAAATAATTACACAACCAAACTACTATAATATAATATACCAAAATAATATATATAATTTAATATACCAAAACAATATAAAAATTACTAAACTACAATTATAAGCTTAAACTTTATTAACCTTTCCTTTTTTTTTTGAAGATCCTGAAATCCCGGGAAACTAAGGAGACTAATCCAGGGATTTCGGGATGAACAATTTGTACAAAATCGCGGGATTTCGAGATCCTGGGATTTCCATCACTAATTAAAATACTTTTTCAACAGTTTTAAATGTAGACATTCTATCGCAATGCAATATGAGTAAAAAAGAAAAGCAAACTATAATAATTCTATTCTAAATACATTTTATTCAAAAATAATTTAAAACTTAGTTATTTAAGTTTGAAAATTTACTAATTTTATTAATTGAAATTTTTTACTCAGGTAAAAAATCTTTTTTACCTGAGTAAAAAAGATTTTTTACCTTGAGTTGAGATTTTAAAATTTAATAGAAAGATTAAATGAAAAAATTAAATAAAAAAATCAACTATAATTTAATTTTTAATAGTAAGATAAGCCAAGAAAAAAAAAAAGAAACAAAAAAACAAAAGATCTAAAAAGTGCCTAACAAAACAATTTGTTCTTACTCGTTTGGTGAGTTTTTATGTTATGAATATTAAGTAAAAAAAATATTCAGGTGGAAGATATTAATATGACAATAGTGTTTTTACTATTGATTCTACTTTAGATAGTCTTTTAGAAAACTCTTTAAAGTGGTTTTGGATATGTAATTAAATAAAAAAAAAAATATAAGCAATATAAAAAAGATTATAATACATGTTATGACTTTTACAAAATCCATTAGATTATTTAATGATCCATTAGATCATTTAATGAACCATTACATAATTTAATCGATAGTTGTTCTAATTGGAGTTAACTTTAAACTGCTAAACAAAAAAGTGAATACTATAAAAGATAAAAAAAGTAAAAAAAATGATTAGGTTTTTTTTTTAAATATTGATACATGAGTCCTGACTTATAGAAAGTTGCATTCCAATATCAATACTTCATACATAACATAATTAAAGAAACTTATATTTATTATAACATAAATTAAAAAAGAATAATTTAATATAATAACTTAATTTTATAACAACAACAAAAAATCTCACAAGTTTTGGTTTGAATTTCTGTAGATCAAGTAAAAGCTTATTTAGCTCAACAGCTTCACTTGGTTCTGATCCTGATTTTTTATCTACAAATATATTTATATAAAACAAAAAGATGTAAAACCAATAAATTATTTTAACAATAAACAATTAAAAAACTAAAAATGTTTAACAAACACAGCAATTTTTATCATATGTCACATTATTTTAAAGCTAACACTACTATTCCCTACATTCCGAAATACTGTTCTGATTTGCATTCAACAGAAAGAACTATTGAAAATAAACTATGTTGATAATTTTTTTATTTTTTATATAAAAAATATATAAAATTTTAAAATATATATTTTAAAATTTTATATATTTTTTTATATTCTATATACTTATTTTTTATATTTTATATAATTTATATATAGATAGATATTTTAAATTAAAGTTAAATACATTTAAAGGCATTAAAGATAACTTTAATTAAAAAAACTAATATATATATATATATATATATATATATATATATATATATATATATATATATATATATATATATACATATAAATTTTTTTTCTTCTGACTTTTGATTTGCTATACCACTGATACTTAGGGTATGTGAGAAAAATGCAAAAAAAAAAAAAAAAAATTGAAATCTGGAGATTAAAGGCATTATAGATTCAAGTAAGATGCGCTCTTACTTGAATGTTTGAGTAAGAATTGTTCAAATATTCAAGTAAGAGCGCATCTTACTTGAACATTTGAACAATTATTTCCTTTCTAACATTTGATAAGGTTTTAATTTTATTAAAATTAATAGAGTTAAAATTTAATAAAGTTGTAAAGTTAGCATTGGATTATTTCCATAATGTACTACAAAATTAGAGTGTTTGCGTTTAACAAGGTATTGACATAAAACACACAAAAAAATTGTACAAAGACAGATTAGGAAATTTGCTAAACATAAAGCCTACCCACTAATAACTTATTATAATAACATTTATGCACAAGCCTCTTAGGAGCAAAATAAGATAGTGACGCCTCCATAGATATTGAAGAAGTCACAGATGAAGAATTAGAAGAACTTATGCAATCTATGCCATAATGGCAGATGTGCATTACAATAAAAAATACTGTCTGATTAGTAATCGCTAGAGAGAAGAGACTTTAGAGCAGAGCAATCGCTTTGTAACATCTCATGTTTGAATGAAGCTTTTCATTTTATGAAATAAATGTTATCAAATAGAAGGCACAAAAATTTCAATCATTGTTACTAAAAAATTTTTTGTTTGCAATAATTTAATTAGTTAAAACCTTTATAATTTTTTAAAGTTAATTTAAAAACTATTGAATATTATCTTCAACATAAAAAATCAAAAATTGAACACTAAATATATTTTATATGAAATACACTCTACATAAAATATAGCAGAATTGCTTGAAAAAAAAAACTTAAAAGGCAATATTGTTGCAACTAAGGAAAATATTTGTTTTTATTATTGAAAATAATAATAATTTTTTTTAATACATTATTTTAAAATACTCAATTTAGTATTAATATATTTTTACTATTATTATGTTTTTATTGTGATCTATGTGAGCACAAGATAGAGTCAAATGTGATCTAACACATCCACATTTCAATCTTGTGTTAGTAACACAAGATGGAAAACTAGTTTTACTCATAAGAAAAAAATATATAAAAAGACCACTAAAGTTTGCTTTGCTTGTTACATCAACAACTTGCTATTCTTGCATTTTAAATGCTAGACAGAGAAACAATAGTCCCAAAATCATTTAGTGATTGGAATTGGCACACAATAAAAAGACTTGATATGTGGGAGAAATTACAAGTGGTAAAATTTGTCACTGTCAATTGTGAAATTCCAGAAATTGATCACAAAATTTTAAGCAAAGACCAGCAGTTTTTATTGGATATATAGTTCTACTGCTGAACCAGGCAGTTGCTCTGAAGGTTAATCTGTTCATGGACCTGCGGCGATTTCGCACTCAGGTTGGTTGACAACTTTATGATTGTATTTGAGCCTTGAGACAGGGGCGGGCACCAAATATAAGTTTTTTTCCTATTAAAACTATATTTCAATATTGCCAAGATTCCTGACCAATGATTTGCTGAAAGCAAAAATTTTTTTCAGCAATTACATTTATTTTCAGCACTTAAATTCTTAACTGCATGTAATGTAATAATTAAATAATTAAAATTGCTGAAAGAATTCGATGAAAGTAAATGAAAAGTAATTGAAAAGCTTATTTTGCACATCTAGTAAACTTGTTTCTGACAATTTTAGTAGACAAGTAGGTTTATATTTTCTTTTTTAATTTTCAATTTAAGAATTTTGTTCCAAACAACTTTTTGTAAGATCTAGAAAATGTAGTTTAGAGAGCGCATATTGCAATAAAGCTTTTATATGATGACTGAGTATCTAATATCTTTTTTAAGTGTTTTGTATGTATGTATTTTAATTTTTATGATTAAAAAGCAATAAATTAATAGTTGGTTAAATTTATTTATTCACCTAACTTTTAGCATATAGTGTGAGTAACAAATGTTTTTTTTTTTATTTCTTCTCTTTTATTCTTTTTTATTTCTTTAAAACTTGAAAATGTGTTTTCTACGATATTATGTAAGATATATATATATATATATATATATATATATATATATATATATATATATATATATATATATATATATATATATATATATATATATATATATATATATATAACAAAATAAACCATTCTAAAGTTTTTTTCTTTTGCTTCACTCCTAATAATGTTCTTACCAAATTACACACAAAACATGATTTTCAAATCATAAAAAAATACTTGAATTTAAAATTTATCTACCTACTGAAGATTGGATGAATAGATATTAAAGCATAGTTGATTTCTTTAGAGCGTTTTATTGATGCGACGGAAGCATTTTCTCGTGACTTAATATACTGCTTGTAACCATTCAACATAACAGTATACATTGATTGCTAAAAAACAGAATACATAATCATATTTTGATGACTTTAAATCTAAACCATTTTTGCTAAATTTCTATTTAATTTACTTAATTTTTATGATTTTTTAATAAATCCTCTAATGTTCTATCTATTTGCCAGTTGTTGTAGCAGCACTCATCGCATGTTCTAACTATTTGTCAATCAATGTAGCAGCACTCCTTGCAAGTTCTACCTATTTGTCTGTCAATGTAGCAGCACTCATCTCATGTTTTATCTTTTTGTCAGGCATTCCTAGCATGTTCATATATATATATAGCATTCCTAGCATGTTCATATATTTGTCAGTTGATATATGTACACTAAAAAACATATACATACATACAACAGATAAAATGTATTTAAGAACACACCTTTCTCATATACTTTGTGCTCTTCCATTTAAGAAGAAAAAAATGAAGAATAAACCAAAAAACGATTGCTGCCTTAGCACAGACAATTAGACCCCAACAGCAGGCTATTTCAGCATGATGTCACATTGCTTATCTAAACGTCCATTTATAGTTATATATCAGTGACAAACCCAGAGTTTATTTGGGAGGGAAGGGGGGAAAGGATTTTCTCATGGTAGCCTTTGCCCCCTCCTCCCTGGTGCTTTTGCCCTGGTCTAATAACTGGTGCCTCCAAGTTGGTTTTTAAAGACAGAAGAATTTTCTAATCTCATTTTATAAATTTATTCTTTCTTATAATTTTTTTTCTTCAAAATGATGCATTTGACAGAAGAATTTTCTTATCTCATTTTATTTCTAATTTTTAAACTCATTTTTTCAACAACACTACTATATATACTTCATCAACTTGGACAATAATTCGCAATGCAGCATTTGTTAAACATATCCTTTGAAATTCACCAGCTGTTTTTTTTTTAAATTTCACCTTATATATATATATTTTTATCTTTTTAATTTCGTATTGGGTTTAGCAAAATAAATCATACAATTCAAGTTATAGTAGGGTATTTCTAAATATAAGTTTCTTTATTCCTTGATTGTTATCTTTTATTATTAACATATGTAATAATATAAATTAGAAAATACAGCATGTTTTTTAGAATGTGTTCTCAAGTGCTGTAAACGCCACATCTCAGCCAATCTCTCCTGTTATATCATGTTAAGTTATTCGAGTTAATAAAACTAAACACTAAACACATTATAGTTAAACACATAAGTACATATACATTGATATAAATTGTGGTACATACATTGATATACAGTTTAACTAAACACATAATAGTAAAAGAAAACTAAATACATAATAATCATCTCATAAAATACCTACCAGTGTTGAATTAACTGCAGTTGTGTTGTTAATAAAGTCTTGGTGGGGTACGATAGCAGATTGAGATACAGATCCAATCAAGCCATTATCTAAATTTCAATAAGAAAAATAGAAGATATAAAAGAACTTTTTTAGAATTATTCAAATAAAATTTTGGTCTTCAGAAAACTAACCTAGTCCTTAGAAAAATTATTAAATCCTCAAAATATTAACCTAGCCCCTAGAGTAGTTACAAAACCCTTAGAAAACAAACCTAACTATCAGAAAAGTCATGTAGCCCATAAAAATCATTCTCAATAAAATGATATATAGCATTAAAGGTTTTAATGAAGTAAATAAACAACTGTTGTTTTTTTTTAAATAAATAGTTTTTTCAATCTTAAAACCATTATAATACCTTCTTGACTATTTTCATTTGAAAATTTGATTGGTTGTGTTAAAAAAAGATGAAGATCCAATAAAAATGCCATCTACAAAATAAATGCAAAAAACAAAAAGTATTTAAAAACAGAAGATGAACTAATATTAAATAAATGCACTAAAGTAATTAAAAACAGAAGATAGAATAATGACAAAAAAATAAAAAAATTAATAAAAAAAAAAAACTTTAATTACAAATGTTTCTAGTAAAATATATCTGCAAAAAATTAACATAAAAATACCTCATCTTTTTGTACAAAAGAATATGCCATTCCAGTTCTTCCAGCTCTTGCAACACGACCTTTATAAATACATTATTAGTACAAATAGAAAATGATAAAATATCAAAAAATTTATAATAAAATGAAGCTAACAATAATAACAACAACAAAAAATACTTTTGCAAAATGTGGCAGAATAAGGACACAAACGTAAGTTTGTTACCATAAGTGATGTGATGTCATTTAAGTGACGTGATGTCATTTAAGTGATATGATATCATTTAAGTGATGTATCATTATAGTTGGAGTTTGAATAGTTAATTTAAAAAAATCCCTGATAAAGGCCATGAATGCTGGTAAATTTTATTAAACAAAAATTAAAAATGACATAAGTAACCAAATCAAAACTAAATACTATACCAATATATTTTATTAATAATATTTTTAATAAATTTATTAATTTAATTAATAATACTTATTTGTATTTTATATTATTTATTTTAACATGCATTAATGATTTTTGACATGCATTAATGACATTCCTATATTAATGAATGGCAATCCTCTTACTGAGTCGTCCTCTTTACGTCTTCTTGGATTATCGCTTACTACTGACCTTTCATGGAAACCATATATACAATCGATTGCTAAATTAGCTTCTGCTAAGGTTGCTTCTCTTTATCGTGCTCGCCATTTCCTTACTTCTGATTCCATTCTCTACCTCTACAAATCTCTTATTCGTCCCTGTATGGAATACTGTTGTCATATTTGGGCTGGTTCTTCTAACGATTCACTTTCTCTTCTTGACAAGGTCCAAAAACGCATTGTAAATGTTGTTGGACCTGGACTATCTGCTAAGCTTGAACCTCTTTCCCATCGTCGTAAAGTTGCATCTCTTTCTCTTTTCTACAGATACTATCATGGTCACTGCTCAAAGGAGTTATCATCTCTAGTTCCATCAACTAAAATTCATTCTCGTTTTACTCGTCATTCAGCTAAGTCTCATTCGTTTTCTGTATCTGTCCCTGCATG